TCTGCCCCTACTTTTCTTTCCCACTCTCTCTCTCAAGTCTTTAAAAAAATAATATTTATATCAGCTTTATACCCTGTTTTCAAAACTTATGAATTACCAAATGCCCGTCAATTGGTGAAAACGTAAACAAAATGTGATTTATCAAAAAAACCTGAATACTACTACAATAAAAAGAAGCAAACCACTGATACAGCATGAATGAATCTCAGAAATACTATGGTGACTGAAAGAAGCCAGGCTCAAAAGACGACATGATTCCATTTATGGCATTCTGGAACATGCAAGACTAAATGCCTGGTAATAGAAAGCAGACCAGTAGTTATTTGGGACTGGAGATGGCAGAGGATTTAACTGGGGAGCAGCATGAGGGAATGTTATAGGCTGATGAAAAAGTGCTTAATCTTTCAAGGGTAGTGGTTTCACAGGTGTATACATTTGTTAAAACATCTAATTTACACTTAAAATGGGTTCATTTTAGTTCATGTAAATTATCAATGAAATGAATATAAAGGGTTTAAAATACAAAAAAGCAAGCCCCCTACCAAACCAAACAAATAAAACAGAAAAATAATCCCAATAGCTAAAATTAAGGAAAACCACGTTAATATTTTTTAAAACAAAACAGCACCATCTTCAGGGGCCCACTTGTAATATTGAAATTTTCTGTGGTACCAGGGCCTGTCTTTGTATATACATAGTGTTGTAGAACTGTGGAGCAGTATTGAACATAACACATGACTGTTTAGGGTGTGCACTCGGCAAACTGGCATGGATGTGAACATGCTGCACTTCCAAGTGCAATAGCCTTTTTGTTCATTCAAAATAGTGGGCCCTCTCATTACCAAATGATATACCCAGGTGGACGCTTTGAAGGAAATGTAATGCCAATCTCAAGTAGTGTTGGAATAGCTGTGTTTTGTCAAGGTAGGTTTATTGGTTTCTTTAATTGTTAAGACATATGTGACTTGTGTGATGTTTCCCTATTTATCTTGGGTATAAATTTATGGTCTAATCTGAGGCCCACTCCTAGCAAAAATACAAGACCATATGACATGTTTCTTGGGTACTACTCTCTTTGCTCCTATGATTATTTTCCCTTCCTTCTTACTTCATAATTTTCAGCAGCTTTTATATATTTTTTTTCAAATACACATTTAACAGGTTACATGTATGTAAAATAAAGTAATAGATGATGCAAATGTAACACTACTTTGAATCTGAATTTTGTATGTGTGTTTTAATAAATAATTGCTAATAAAATTTCTCTCCTCTCCCAAGATTTAGTGTTTTATTTTTAAGAAAAGGTGGATGGACACAGAGAAAATGCACTCGAGAGGAAAACTTAACATTGTCATGGAAGGCCACCTGTCTGCTGTACAATATAATGAAGAGTTAAAGATGTCATGTGTCGGGATGAGCACTGGGTGTTATTCTGTATGTTGGTAAATTGAACACCAATAAAAATTAATTTATAAAAAAAAATAAAAAATAAAAAAAAATAAAAAAAGGTGGAGCGAGAAAAAAAAAAAGATGTCATGTGTCTGTCTGTCATACATGATTCATTTGTCCTTGGTTGGCAAATTTATGCCTCTGTTCTTCATTTTAGAAGTTTCTGCATTGTCCCTAACATATTCCCTAACACAAAATGAAAAATATTCTGCCTGTATGAGGACATATAAAGTCAAAAAAATGCTGAATGCTCCATCAATCTTTTGCAGATTTTGAATCAAATGCAGAGTGTTTCATTATGTTAAAAAGAGAGGAAAACGGTAAATGAGGGGAAAATATTTTCACCAAATGTAATTATTAAAAGGCTAATAACTACAATAAAAGGAATTCATATAAATTTATGAGAAAAAACAATAGCTCAATTGATGAATGGACAACACAAATAACTAAAAAATAAAATACCAAAGTAAATGAGTATATAAAAAATGTTTATGGCACTCCAGATGTTGGCGACATTATAAATTACTGCAATGTTTTAAAGGCATTATAATAATACATACAAGGAATGTAAACAAATGTCCATAACTTCTGACACATTTATCCTAATCCTTAGAGTTTACCTTAAGGAAATAATTAAAAAGAAAGGAAAAAACATGTATATAAATATGCCAGTTTATTAATCATGCATGACTACAATATTAAAAATTTAAAGAAGCTGGAAATCCAATAGAACTTAGTAACTTATGCTATATTATGCAATCAATTATTGTAAGGACTGCATTATTGGGTAACAAATGAAAATCATGATGAAATTTCATTAACTGTAATTATAGTTATTTAAATTCTTAAAGAGCATAAGAAAACATGAGAAAACAGACATCTTTGGTTAGGGAATTATGAATTTTGCTTTTTTGAAAAAAATATACTTTGTAAATATCTTCCAAAATTGTCATAACTTCGCATTGTTTTTAAAATGCAGCTAGGAAGCTATTTCTTCTCTTACTAACTGTCCCCCTTCACCCCATCTTCGCTCCAGGAATGGGACCTAATCCTGGCATCTCTGTCTTGGACCTCATCCGAGGAGCCAGGTGCTAGAGGTGCCGGGCAGACCAATTAAAGGGGTTCCACAGAGCCAGAGAGCTCCAGTGGCTGCCAGGCTGGTATGATGCAATTAATACTTTGGGTCCAGATTTCCCAAACATTTGCAAAGAATGCCAAGTTCCTTTGAATGAGGCAATGAGTTTGAGAATAATCTTCCTTGGTCGGTAACAGAAAACAAGAGATCAGGTAAACTTCAAAGTGGGAAGGGTAAGAGAAAAAGCAACCCAAACCTCCAACAATGAAACAATGAGCTCTGAACTGTCGGTTCAGACCCAGGAAGGAAAATCTAAAGGTCAGGATAGTTGGTTCCCCAAAGAAACTACATGAGATGCCACAAGCAAAAAAGGCTATGGGGCACTGTTATCACACAAAATAAATAAGAAACATGGAAAATTGGCTCCATGGAATATCATGAGAACCAGTACTCTGAGTCTCCCCTTCCTGAAACTATCTTTTTATGTTAAGTCACTGTTTGGCTCCTACAGTCCTTGTACTTGCTCCCAAACTTCCAAAGCACCGAATAATTAATTTTTGCTTTTCTTTACCCACCCCATTCAAACTCTTCTCAGACAAAGACCTAACAGACTTATCAGAGTAAGGGACATGATTGATAAGCCTGTCCTCAATGTAACTGTCCACTCTTTACCCCAGGATAGCCTGTCAACTAGGTCATCCCCCATTCCTCCACTTCACAGTGGGCATGGGACTCAGGCTGGCCCAATTATCCCTGAACACAATGCCTGTGGGCACATGACCAAGAAAGGTGTGCCAGTTCTTTGGTCCTTTCCTCTTCCTGCCCTTGCTTTACTCTGTGTCACAGGGAACTGAGCCGCACAGGTTCTGGGCTCAGCTGGCCTTCAATGAAAGGAGGTTGCAGGGCAGGTGAGAGGGGATGCCAATGTTCAGCCATGTAATCCAATTTGAGGATAGTGCCAAACACAGAACAAAGACCCAGGAAACATGGAGAGAAAAATAATCCTAACATATTCTTTGAACTCCTTGCTTTTGAACTCTAGGCCTAAAGTTAGTATATCATATATTTTATGTCCTAAACCAGGACACTTGAGAATAATAGGGACTGCTAGTAATACATAAGTCAGGAAGATAGGCACAAATTAGAACCAACTCAGGCAAATTAGAACATATAGTTACCCCACCCAAAACTAACTCAGCCTTTGGACTTTATAATTAATTGAGCCACTGAATTATCTTTGACCCTTAACCTACTTCGAGTTGATCTCTATCACTAAACTTCCTGACCTCTGCATGAGGTTAAGGTCTAAATCAATAAGTGGTAGGATTTCAGGGTAGGCAGACAAACATCAATATCTGCCTGTCTTATCCTCCATAATTTGTAAAGTTTGCACATTCTTGGTATAGCCATTCCAGGAAAATGATAGGGAATTTTGGTTGCTATATTCCCAAAAAGATTGAAAAAGTGCAAAGAAAACTAAAATTGCTGAGGGAACCATATATACTCCACTCAGGCTAAATGAGGTTCTTTAGTTATCTTTTTTTTTTTTTCCAATTTAAAGTGGCCCTTATTTGAAGTTTACTTTCATCTGAATATAAATTTTGGGATATAGAATAGGTCAACCAGATCTTATAATTTTTCCCAGTGTCCAACCTCTATCTAGGGATATTACTATACCACTACTAAAAACACTGTCCTTTGAGAACTGCTTTTCTTCTGTATCTTCTTCCCTTTACTTTTTCCCATTAGCCTATAAGGTCTCAATTATACTATAGATGAAATACGCTCTCAGCTTGTCTAGGAATCCAACAGTCATTTACAACCATTTCTATATATATACATATATATATATATATATATATATATATATATATATATATGAAACTCACGTGTTCTTTAGGGTAGGATAAGAAGGGTATGTCACAGGTCACATGACACTTGATAGTCCCTTAGTTCAGTGCACTCATAGCACCTGCCTAGTTTATGACAAAACAGAACACAACAATTCAAAGACTCTATCTCCTACGTTTAGTGGGAGTGCTTCCCACTCTAGTAGAGGTCATTTTTTATTCAGGAAGCCATTCATAATTCAAGTGTTTGAAATTCCATGAGCAGTTAGATTTTTCAAAAGCCATAAGTGGTGTTTGTGACTAACTTCCCATTTTTTGAGTCTCAAAGTCGCTTCATCAATTAAAGGACAGATGTATCAAGAACCAGAAAGAAATACACAGAGGCTCTAGTAACCAGCTCATTTTTTTTGTGTCTCACTGTCCATTTCGTAGAGTGCTAAATCCTCTGGTCACAAAACATGCTCTTTTTTGAACAGAAAAAAGTATCCCTTTCCAGAGGTTAAACTGGCACAAAATCCTTAAGTAGAAATAAAAGTATAAGCAAATACAAATTAAAATATTCACAGATCAAAAGTATTATATATATATATATATATATATATATATATAAGCAACTCACTGCAGGGTTCACTAGGAGTCATTTTGTTCCGGAAGGTAAATATTTTCTCCTCATGCCCTTTTTGGTAAATTGTAAAAGAATTTCTTTTACCAAAGTTTGTCACATTTATGATATAAGTAACAATGATAATCTTGAATTATCCTGAATGCTGGGTGGAATTCTTTACCTCATTCAGTAGGTAAGAATCTACTGAATGACAGAAAAAATACCAAATCCATTACCCCTGATGATAATAAACAAGTTTTACCTGAGTCTTAGCCTTGAGCAAAATATATTGAAGGAGACTCTCTGGGAGGACCGAGTATTAAAGGAAAGAAACAGAATAAGCAACACTTAACATGAATTGTATAAAAAGAGGATCACAAAGGCAGTAGTTTCACGGTCTAGATGCTTGGGTTTGCTTGGTCACTTTCAGAGAGTGTCGTTTCCTCCATGATGACAGATGGCTCCAGCAGCCTAAAGTGTTCACTTAAGGTTGGAAGTGACCTGAGCATGTTATACATCCTTACACGCAGCCTCATTGTGGTCACTGATGGCTTCAGCTTCACTCTCCCAGTGGATTGTGACAGTGACTTCAACACTTCGGAAGCTTTGTTCTGGAAGATTTTTGTTCTGACAGTGTACAGGATAAAAATTTGCAATCCCTGGCAGACAGAATAAAAGTTTTATGCTAGATCAGTGTTAAGATACAGAATCAGGGAAGAGATTTGTTTTGCTTTGCCACCCGCCCATCCCATCATGGACAACAACTCCCCAACCTGAGTTTACGTCTGCAGCTGCTGTGCACTTTGTCATCTCAGAGGGTTCAGGTGATGTTCCTCTCACATATAAAGTGCTACATGGAAACAGTAGATTTAGAAGACCTGAATTTAGGTCCCAGTTCACCACATGTTGGCTGTATGATTGAGAGGCTCTTTCTCTTCCTGATGCCAACTGGATGATACCAATTGATTTGTGACGCTAACAAACAAGAGTTAGTGTCAGATTCCACAGGTTAACAGTCCTGTGATTGCCTTCACTTCAGGTGCTAGTGAAGTTTGGGGACAAACATTGGGTCCCCACATTACCCATATTTCTGTCTGACTTGACTACAAAGTCAAGGGTTTCCCAAAACCCACGTCCCTGTCTCAGGTTTGGTCATTTAATAGAACTACTAACAGAATTTAGGAAGTATCTTTACTTACCATTACCTGTTTATTACAAAGGACACAACTCAGGAAGAGCCAAATGGAGGAGATCATAGAACAAGGTATAGGGGAAAGGGCATGGAACTTCCATGCCTTATCCAGGTGTACCACCCTCCCAGCTCTTTAATATGTTCACCAACCTGGAAGTTCTCCAAACCCCTTCATGTAGGGGGTTTTATAGAGGTTCCATTATACAGGATTCACAACTCTAGGGCCCAATAGCATTAACCATTTGTGACTGACACAGTCTCGTGCCCCTTTCCCCTTCCTGGAGGTAAGGCTGAAAGTTCCAAACTTCTAATCCAGGTCTAGTCTTTCTGGAAACAAGCCTCCAGCCTGAAGCTATCTAGGGACCCCAGCCTCCAGTCATTCATTAACATACAAAAGATACTCATCACTTCCAAGACAATCAATTCCAAAGACTTTAGGAACTGTGTACTGAAGACAAAGACCAAATATTTATGTTTTAGTATACTGCAGTTACTTCACTTCGATTCCTGAAGGAGACAGATTGCCTATGGGTCACTTAATTCTCCTTCCAGTTCTAACATTCTATGATTGTACATTTCTTGACATTTTAGTAACACAACAAGTTACTACACAACAAGTAAAAGTCTGGAGTGTTTAAGAACAAAACCAATTAAAAAAAAAACAATTTTAAGCACTACTATTCATCGCTTTTCTGTCCTTTATGTACAAAGATCAGATGTGCATGAGAAATTAATCTACAAAAGACTGAATACTATTTTCTGTACACTTTTTAATTATTTTTATGGGAGTTCAATTTGCCAACATATAGCATAACACCCAGTGCTCATCCCGCCAAGTGCCCCCCTCAGTGCCCATCACCCAGTCACCCCAACCCCCTGCCCACCTCCCCTTCCACTACCCCTTGTTCATTTCCCAGAGTTAGGTATCCCTCATGTTTTGTCACCCTCTCTGATATTTTCACTCATTTTCTCTCCTTTCCCTTTATTCCCTTTCACTAATTTTTATATTCCCCAAATGAATGAGACCATATAATGTTTGTCCTTTTCCAATTGACTTATTTCACTCAGCATAATACCCTCCAGGTCCATCTGCATGGAAGCAAATGGTGGCTATTTGTTGTTTCTAATGGCTGAGGAATATTCCATTGTATACATATACACTTTTAAAATGAAAACTACCACGTAATGAAGTCCTATCGGTATCAGACAGTGCTTTTCATGTAATCCTCATCATTTAATGTTTCTCATTTAATCCTAACACCAACCCTATAAAATAAGCCTTAGCAGCCCATGTAACAGGTGGGAAAACTATAGCTCAGATAATTTAAGTAACCCGCCTAAGATCACTCAACTGGTAATAAGTGGAGTCTGGAGTTGAACTCAACTCCATTTGATTCCAAAGCTCTTCTAGCCAATATACTACTCTGTCTCTTGCTTGTAACTGCAATAGAAGGATATTATGAAGTATATGACAACATCTAAGAGTCCCCCTGTAAATTTCTCATTTAGTTCCTTTGTGGAAATAACATCACTAGTTGAGTAATAGTATTGTGCCAATGTTCACTTCTTGATTTTGATGATGGACTATGGTTATAATATATTAGCATTGGGGAAAACTGGGAAAAGAGTACCTGGGAACTCTACTATTTTTGCAACTTCATGTTTTAAACTCTTTAGAAATAAAAAGTTACTTAAAAAAAATTCTCCAGATTAGAATCTCTAGGGCCCAAGCCTTATAAGGATCTATTTCTATAAGCATATCTTATGAATACTGTTGTAGGAGACTTCTGATGCTCTGGTAAGATAACCCAAAGACCCTGAGAATTTAACTAATAAAATCAATACATATTGTCAAGAGGCCAGTTCTCTGACCAAAAACAGGAAGATTAACTTGATCATTATCCAAGAGGCAGTATTTACCCATCTGATGATGACACAAGGAAGGATGCATAGGGACTTAGGTCTTGGAAGGGCAGAAGTGGTTACCGGCCATCCTGATTGTTCAAGAGAGATTTATTTTGAAGATATAAGAAATCTGGTCCTCTTTGTGGAGTACACTATTCCATACTTAAAAGACTGGATAAATTTCTAGTTGTACAAGAATTAGGAAAACACCTAGACCATGGAGAACTCATGAAGACAACATCCTGTGAAGCTGTGTGAGTGGAATCCCAATATTTCTATACTCTTTAAAATCCCAGAGATGTTATTGAAAAAGATAAAATGTATGGATCAAACAATTCTCACTACCATAAAGATCAAATTGTGCTTTTAAAATAATATCTATAGCACTTAGTAAATGTCTATCAGAATTACAGCATTCTAAATCTAGAAGGATGGGACACCTGCGTGGCTCAGTGGTTGAGTGTCTGCCTTTGGCTCAGGGCATAATCCCAGGGTCCTGGGATCGAGTCCCACATTGGGCTCCCTGCAGGGAGTCTGCTCCTCCCTCTGCCTCTCTCTGTATCTCTCTCTGTGTCTCTCATGAATAAATAAATAAGATCTTTTTAAAAATCAATCAATCACTCAATCTAGAAGGAGCCTTACATATAGTCACTTTAGTGTACATAAAAATCAAATCCCTATTTAAAGTGAAGATTTCTAGCTCTTACCCCATAGATTCCAATTGACCAGGTAAGGGGTGAGGCTGAGAAATAAGCATTTTAACATACTATGTAAATCTCACGTAGGCAATATTCAGACTTGCTTTGGAAAACACAGCACCAATTTTAACATCCCCCCTCCATTTTAGATTTTACATAACTCCCTCAGGTTGTATGACTTTCCTAAAATCACATGATCATTAACAGCAAAGCTGGATGACAGCCTAACTCTCCTTTTAGCCCAGTGCTCTTTTGTTATGGCCACCCTCAATTTTACTAGAGAGTATTAACATTTCGTAATAAGCCTCTATTTTATAATGTGCCTGCCGGAGGGGGAGAGAATATCCCTGACTATCTCTCCTTTCAGGTACTTTTTTAAATCCTCATCACTCTAGGCAACAAGCCTATGGGTCAATTGGCAATCCAATGGCTGCTGTCAATACCCTATTTATTTCTCTTCTGGAGAGTTTCCATTGGGTGTTGACGGCAGTGAAAAACTACCTTATACTCATTTCAATTTAGTGGCAGGCATATATCCCTCACTTGAGGCACTGGAGAGGGCCACCAAAGGGCTTACAAACATTAACTGTGGTGGTAACAATTTAAACAGCCAAGCAACTTCCACACTGCGCTATACAGACTCTTCAACCTTCGTGGTCCAGTCAAATTTATCTAGTGCTGTTCCCAATGGTTTCCATTTTGTATCAAAGACTAGTTTCTTCAGTGATATTTGACCAGGGCCAGAAACAACCAACATGATACCAACTTCCCACAGTAGTGGGAACTACTCCCAACTACTCTCAGTAGTTGAAGATGTGAGACAAGCTTTCTTTCCTCTTCTTTCAAAATGTATTGAAAATAGTCTCCTAAAAGTAACAGAGCAATGACCTTCAAGGTCATCTTTAGCTTAGTCCAGGGTACTCTCACCACTACTGCATGATCTGCTACTTTCAGACTAATCCACAGCATACCTGGGTAGTGTTGAGAAGGCAAAACATGTAGTTGAAGACAATCCTGACGTCCTCTTTACCAATTAGCATAAAGTATGCCAGAATCCAGGTAATTCCAAAAACAACCGAAATAGATAATGTACTAAGAACCTTCTTTAGGGATGAAACCTTTTTTGTGCTAGGTAAGAGAAAGCAAGAAAGAAAATGCAGTTTTATTATTAAGATCATTTTATTTTTTAGTATCATTGCTACCCTCTAATTGAGAATACATATGCAACTGCCCATATATCCTCTTTAACAATATTATGCATCAAGTGGAAAACCATGTTAGACCTACATCTGGTTAAAATCTGATTTAGCAAGCTTTATTAAGGAATACAGTGATATTTGCTTAAAGGCTCAGGCATAAACAGTCCCTTATATACTACTGCAGGCAAGTACCCCACACATGTAAAAATCAATGTTTTCTTTAGAAAGGAGTTTTATCTTGGTGATTATTTTGTGGATCAGTCAGTGAGAAATTCCTTCTCTGGACATCTGGGATCTTCCTATGATGTAGGCTGATATGGGAATGAAAGGTCATCAAAATGTAGAAATGTAGGAATCTGGACTTAGCCCTATGCCTTCCCAAGGGGATGTTAGCAATTGTTCCACAAACAGAACCTAGAAAGCATTTTATTTGGTAGAGCTGGCCTTTTTAAATTGTTCTTTGGAACCCTGACATCACTCTTTGAGAAGCCTGTATTGGACTAATTGATGATGACAGACCACGTGGAACAGAGATAAGCTTTCCCAACTGAGCAGCTCCCACTCAAAACCACCACCCACTCACCACCAGGCACAAAAATAAGTCATCTTAGACCATCCATCCGTATTCAAGTCAGTGAAGACCAGAACAAGTTTACCTGACCAACACTCAAACTTATGACAAATAATTAATAATTGTCGCTCTAAGCCAGTAAGTTTTGGGGTGGTTTCTTATGCAGCAAAGAAAACTGCATAAGAATCTGATACATGAATGATAATTTGTTAAGCAATCAAATTGTAACCTACTTTTCACTGTGATTAAGCCAATTGAAGAACCATGAGCTATCAGCCAAAACCTAGAAATACAAATTATTGTTGTCTGTGGCCAAAATAATACTGTTTTGTATAAAGGAAATATAACCTATTCTGCAATTAGGCTAAGATTTTACTGAGATTTTTCCGCATTGCTAATAAAACAAAGGTTTGAGGGATTATCAATGATAGTCTTTCCCCTCACATTTCTCCTCAATATGGATTATCATTCATTTAGGAAAGATGACATTTAGTTTTGATCGGTAAAAGCACATATTAAGATCATATTCCCACTAATGATGGTTGTTCCCACCCATCTATTCATACCAAACAGATACATTTGATGACCAACAGAGCTCACAGATAAACTTCTAATAAATGTACTGGAGGTAAAAATAAATAAATAAATAAATAAATAAATAAATAAATAAATAAATAAAAATAAAAAATGTACTGGAGGTAAACACGGTCTTGTAAAATGAAACCTGGATTCATGACCTTATAAGCATTGTGTTCTAAGCAATTGTGATGTTGGAGTTGTGGATAAGGAGGGTGTATCTGTTTAATAGTTTCTGTTCTTTTTTTTTTTAATAGTTTCTGTTCTTTACCCATCCAACTGAAAGCTTTTTTGTTTACCAGCGATGACAATGAATATGCTTATGGGGGACAGAAAGGTTATGGAAAGGAGAGAAGCAGTACACATGCTAACTGATAAACCAGAGAGCACTTGTCCTGCCTGCAGAAAATGTGGATGAAATGTTGCCAGATGTCCCAACTTTTTCAAGAGAAAATATAATTTTTAAGTGAAATCTCCCAATTTTTATGTTTCTTTTTTTATTTTATTTTTTTTTATTTATGATAGTCAGAGAGAGAGAGAGAGAGAGAGAGAGAGAGGCAGAGACATAGGCAGAGGGAGAAGCAGGCTCCATGCACCGGGAGCCCGACGTGGGATTCGATTCCGGGTCTCCAGGATCGCGCCCTGGGCCAAAGGCAGGCGCCAAACCTCTGTGCCACCCAGGGATCCCCAATTTTTATGTTTCAAACTAATTTAAAAAACTTAAAGCCATTATCAGGTTCAAGAAACATGTAAAATATAGCCTGAAGCTCCTAGTTTGTAAAATGAAATACAGTTATCAGCATCTCCTTACAATCTTCTAGTTTTTTTAATTATTCAAATCTGATTTCTTGAAATTTCTTCTTTTGAAGTCTTTGGGTTTAGTTTAGTTTAGTTGGGCTCATACAGCACAAAAGCATGTTATGTAATGCAGTTCCATATTGTTGGGAGAAGAGGAGATTTACTTTCTTAGACAAAGGTTAAAAGAAAATCTGTCCTGCAAACCACATATCCTTGCCATTGTCCCAAAAGTCTGAAAACTCTTTTAGGATCTGTAGATATATTACGGTGTTGTATTATGTACTAAATGAGTCATGCTTGGAAGCATCCCACTAATTGGTAAGCTTACCTTGTCAGATTCAGGTTAGTCTTCCATATTACTTTGACTATAATGATAATAAATATAACAATATTGTTGATGAGGATAATGGTGATAGGTATGATGAATGACCACAACAATGGACTTGTTATAAGACCATTGTTTCCTGAAACTGCCAGCCAGCAGCTATGGGGAGAAAAACAAAACGATTTTAGTAGATTAAGAAAGTTATACATATTGGTTCTCTGCTATTAACATTATTGACATTCACTTTACTGAAAGAACTGCTAAAAGCCAATATCCCTTTGCATTCTATAGATTTGAAATGACTTTCAAGAATTTAGCCACTAGAAAAACAAAGAAATATATTAGTTCTGGATATTTCCTGATTAATGGGCTAATGAAAAGAAAATAGCTTTTAAATCAGGCAATCCCGAATTTAAATGTCATTCCATCACTTACTAGGGGGTCTGACTTTAGGCAAGTTGTTGTCTTAGTTCATTTTTTATCATGTAGCACATCAAGGTGGTTTAAAATTTTAAAGGCACAAGTCATCAAGTTATGCTTGTACTGGCAAACATATTTTTCTTATCTTTAAACAAATAATAACATATTTCTATAACTTACTTAGCAGCATATCTTGGAGTACACTCCAGATGAGATTATAGACAGTCATTATTTTTATAGCTGTATAGTACTCCATTGATTTGTTATAGTTATTTACATACTCTTTTATTAATGGGCATTTTTAAAAGTTAAATGTTTAAAAATATTTTAATAGTTATTTAACCTCACTGCATCTGTTTTAAGTTTTTTGTTGTTGCTATTGCTGCAAATGGCTTTGGTGGTTTTTGGGGTTTTTTCCCTCATCTGTGAAGTATAGTAATCACTTCCTGGCATTGTTGTAAGAATGTGTTCATTTATTTAATAGGTATATACAGGACACATGCTATGTGTCAGACAGTTCTAGATATCTGATATTAGCAGTGAAGAAAAAAAATTTCTTCTTTGTGATATATACTATATATATAGAATACCCTACAGATTCCACCAAAGAATGACCAGAACTGAAAAATGAACTCAATAATATTAATTGCAGGCTATGAAATCAATGTACAGAAATCTATTGCATTCCTATAGAATGAATAATAATGAAGCAGCAGAAAATGAAATTAACAAATGCCATTCACAATTGTATCAAAAGTAATAAAATAACCATGATTAAACTTAAGGAGGTGAAAGACTGTACTCTGTTTATGTGCTGCTGAAGCAAGCACAGAAAGACCTGTACTCTGAAAACTATAAAGCATTGATGAAAGAAATTTAAGATGATGGAAAGAAATGGGAAGACATTCCATGATCATGGGTTGAAAGAACAAATATTGTTAAAATGTCTATGCTACCTAAAGCAATTTACACATTTAATGTAATCCCTATCAAAATACCAACAACATTTTTTGCAGAACTGAAACAATCCTAAAATTTGTATACAACCACAAAAGACTTTGAATAGCCAAAGCAATATTGAAAAAGGAAAAACAAAACTGGAGGTATCACAATCCCTGACTTCATGTTATATTACAAAATGGTAGTAATTAAAACAGTACAGTACTGGCATAAAAACAGACACATAGAGCAGTGGAATAGAAGAGAAAGCCCAGTAATAAACCCATAATTATATGGCTAATTAATTTTCAACAAAGGAGGAATGATATCCAATGGGAAAAAGACAATATCTTTAACAAATGGCACAGGGAAAACTGGACAGCTACCTGCAAAAGAATGAAACTGAACCACTTTCTTTCACCATACACAAAAATAAATTCAAAATGGATTAAAGACCTGAAACCTCTTATTTAAACCTCTTATTTAAAGGTCTGAAACCATAAAAATTCTTAAAGAGAGGCCATAGCCATATTTCCCTAAATATGTCTCCTGGAGAAAGGAAAATAAAAGAAAAAATTGACTATTGGGACTATACCAAAATTAAAAGTATCTTCACAGTGAAGGAAACAATCAACAAAACTAAAAGGCAACCTAGGGATCCCTGGGTGGCACAGCGGTTTAGCTCCTGCCTTCACCCCAGGGCGTGATCCTGGAGACCTGGGATCGAGTCCCGCATTGGGATCCCTGCATGGGGCCTGCTTCTCCCTCTGCCTGTGTCTCTGCCTCTCTTTCGCTCTCTCTATGTCTCTCATGAATAAATAATTAAAACTAAAAGGCAACCTACCGAGTAGGAGAAGTTATTTGCAAATGACATCCAATAAAGGGTTAGTTTCCAAAATATATGAACTGATACAACTCGAAACCCAAAAACCAAATAATCCAATTTAAAAATGGGCAGAAGACATGAATAGACATTTCTCCAAAGAAGACATCCAGATGGCCAACAGACACATGAAAAGATACTCAACATTGCTCATCATCAGGGAAATGCAAAGCAAAAACTACAATGAGATGTCAGTTTAGACCTATCAGAACAGTGAAAACCAAAAACAGAAGAAACAAGTGTTGGCAAGGATGCAGAGAAAAAGGAACCCTTCTGCATTATGGTGGGAATACAAATTAGAGCAGCTACTGTGGAAAACAGTATGGAGGTCCCTCAAAAAAATAGAACCACCCTACAATCCAGTAATCATACTACTGGATATTTACCCCAAAAGTACAAAAACACTAATTCAAAGGGATACATGCACTCTTATGTTTATTGCAGCATTATTTACAATAGCAAACTATGGAAGCCGGCCAAGTATCCATTGACACTTGGATAAACAATAGATAAAGAAGATGTGATAGATACATATAATGGAATGTTATTATTATATTATTATTATATATATAATGGAATATTATTCAGCCATAAAAAGAATAAATCTTGCCATTTGCAACAACATGGGTGGAGTTAGAGAGGATAATGCTAAGTGAAGTAGGTCAGAAAAAGACAAATACCATATGATTTCACTCATATGTGGAATTTAAGAAATGAGACAAATGAATAAAGGAAAAAGAGAGAGAGAGAGACAAACCAAGAAACAGACTCTTCACTATGGAGAACAAATTGATGGTTACCAGAGAGAAGGTGGGTGAGGGGCTTGAAATAGGTGATGGGGATTAAAGAGCACAGTTATCATGATGAAAAAATAAAAATAAAAATTCCTTCTTTAGTGAATTTATTTTAATGCACAGAAATAAATAAAAGTAACAAACAAATAAAATATATATTATTTCAGATGGTGACAATTGCTTAGAGAAATACAAAGCACGTAATGAGGGTAGGTATTACTATGCATATGTGTATATATATGTGTGGAGGGGGCGATGAATGTTTTAATTTAAATAGAGTAGTCAGGAAAAACCTTATGGGAAAAAGTGATATTTGAGCAAAGATCTGAAGTGAATAAGGGGGAAGGGCGTTCTAGGCAGAGGGAACAGCAAATGCAAAGGCCCTGATTTGAGAGCTGAAGGAAGAGCAAAGCAGCTAATGTGGCTTAGACAGAGTAAGCACAGGCCATTAGTGAAAAGATGCAAATTATGTCACTGCTTTATAGGTTATTGCATGTACTCTTGATGCAAAGGAGAAACTTAACATGATCTGTCTTGAGTTTGGAAAGTGCTACTCTTGCTAGATACAAGGAAAGTAGAAGAACATGCACAAAAGTAGGAAATTGGCTAGGAGTGTTAAAATAATCTGGTGGCTTGGACCAGAAGAGGAGATGTTAGGAAATAGTCTGATTCTAGACATATTTAAAAGTAAAGCAAAGGATTTATTTCTAGGTTGGGTGTGAGATGTAGGAGGATTAAGGCTGATTCCAAATTCTTTGGCTTGAGTACACGAAAGGATGGAATTGCCATTAACTGAGATGCGGAAGATGACATGGAGAGCAGATTTGGTAGGGAAGACCACTTGATGTCCCATTAGACACCCAAGTGAGGTATCAGGAGGCATTTGGATATTAACAAAATAATGTGAGAAGCGCTGGCACATATTTGCATTCAATTAATGTACGTGCTCTTTTCCCTGCAGGCAAAAGACCATTATTGTACATGTCAAAGGATTTTTAAATTGTTTTGCATTGGAAAGCTGTTATAATTTAAATTACTAGTAATCATATTTCTAATCTAAATGACCTAGAAGGAAACTGGGATAATGTTCGAGTCTCTGTAATAAAATGAAAAATAAAAGAGTGCCTATAATTCATTAACAGAATAGGTCTATCCTTAAATAAAATGGTGAGAGCCAGTGAGTTTTTCTTCAGGACTTCTGGCTTTCCTTTCTGCAACTGGAGGACAACCCTCCTGTCATTCTCTATTGTGTCATCTCTTTTACAGAAGGAATAGGAAGGCACTCGGCTGAGAATTTAATGATATCCTCCTGAGAAGTACTTTCAAATCTCTAGAAGCTTATTTGGTGACTAAGCAAGTGGCCATCAAAACTTTTATTTTATTTTATTTTATTTTATTTTATTTTATTTTATTTTATTTTGTTTTGTTTCATCAAAACTTTTAAATGAAAAAGATGAACACATTTCTTATTCATGGAGCCTAGAGTGTAAAGGGGGAAGAAAAGAGAGAGGAAGAAGATGAATAATACAACTCTATTGGATAAAGGCAGACTTGTTAATTATGAAACAATTAGATATGTAGCCTTCTCTGTATGAGTTTTGAAACAATTTCTGAGGATTACTATTTGTACTATACACAGGTGTGTGTGTGTGTGTGTGTGTGTGTGTGTGTGTGAGCCCACAAATGTATGCAGATTCCTCGGCCATCTCATACCAATGGGGAGACCTGGAGGGGAAGTAGGCTTGCTACCCATGGTCGTCAGGAAGTGTGTGCTAGGAGGAACTCCTTCTCACCCTCTCTATCCTTTGTACTACTTGGAGAGATAGTCAGTCATGCTCGATTTGTTCTCATGACATCCAGATTTGAGAAACAGTCTGTCTAGGAGATGGATAGACCCTATGGTCAGACTAAGCCTTGCAGGTATGGAGTGGGATTTCTAGAATTAAGACTGGAGAGCACACAGTGGAGGCTAATCTGACAAACAGCTATGGACCTGATGTCTAGAGAGCATCACAAGTGGACCTCAGATGAAATGTTTAACTTCAATGGTGATTTTGTCATGAGACATACCATGAAGACAGATTTATCATATATAGCAAACATTAACAAGAATTTCTCCCTCAGGCACTATAATTTCCTATGTTATCTCGATCCTTCAGAAAAGTCTGAAACAGGCTATGTGATGGTGGTACTGACAATCAGGGGATGGGGTGTTAAAGAAGAGTGTGTCCTGCCCTGCAGTCACCCCTCAGGTGGGTCCTTGCAGAGATAGCAGTACAGCAAGAGAAGGGGGTTAGTGGAGTAACATGGGGGAGAGCATAGGGTATGGTGGTGCAATTGCTGGGAGGATAACTCCAAAAAACCAAAAATAATCCCTCTTCTTTCTACGTACATCCCAAAGAAATGTGACCCCTGGTGCACATGTATAGGATCAAAGGTAGGGGATATGGGTCCAAGATGAGGCATCTTCCCAACTCCTCTTGTTATCATTGCCTAGTGTCTTCCCTAACATCTACCAGTATACTCAGGAAAGAATCTGCTCTCAATTATTTATAGCTCAGCGTGAATGTATTTAAAATGGTAGGCTTCTTTCTCTAGAAGGCATTTATAGGAGTAGATCTAGTCCTGTCCCGGGGTTAGGGTAGGAAATTGGTGATGTAATTTGAAGCGAATTGCCTCTCCTGTGAGAATGTTGCATCTTACCCCCGATCTGTAATTAAGGAATTACATTTTTTTAATTCACTAAGAGATTTTTAACACTAATTAAACCCGAAAAAATGCTACCTGGAGTATTTGCTTCTAAAATCAAGCCAGGCAGATAGTCTCCTATTCTACACTTGGGCACAGTCAGCCCTGGAAGTAGGTATGCACCCTAACACCACAGCCTTCCCTGGGCTGCACTAGCACATTTCCAATAGTTCTGTTTTCTTTTGTTTTAGTTGCTTTTGGACGTAAAGGGGTGAGAATGGTTGGATTATAAAAGGAGAAGGGAGGATAAATTAAAGAGTAGTTGCTGTTTAGTAGCAGAAATACATGTAAAGAGTTCAGCTCAGATTTCTTCTCTCCCATCTCATAGAAAAAGCAATCAGCACACAGTCGGGTATTTCCATTAGTAACAACTAATCACACTATAATCTCAGGGAGCATTTTTTATGTGTGATAAATCATCACAAAATACTCATTTTAATCTTATCAACTTAAAACCGGTCATAAGCATGGATAGTGCTGTTCAAGTTATGAAACGTCTTCACACTTTCTTGACTCCTCACCATGACCTCAGAGTGGGTATTATGATCATTGTTATTCCCATTTCCTAGTTAAGAAAATTAAGATAAAGGGTTACTAAGGATCACACACATTATGTCCTATGATTTTCAGGTCTAATAAAAGAAGACAAATCTAACACAGTTTAATTATAAATTTAGAAAGTAATTACTTGCCTTTCAAAAGGATTTATCACAGGAAGCTTTCAAATCACTGTATTTAAAATATAATGCATTCTTTGAGAATTTGAAATACCCACTTATAATGATACTTATAAAGTGAGATGCATACGTACAGTGACACTTGGACTCAATATCACTGAACTACTACATTCTTCTATCAAATAAATGGACATTTTTGAAAGATATTAACTCACATTTCCTCTTGTCTGTAGTTTAATTCCCACTGTGAACCATTCTGAGAAAAAATAATTCCCAGTGTCATAGCCACCACTACAGCCGGGACTCCTATGTGGTAAAAGAGAGGCACTGAATGAATAATTTACCCAAGACTGGAATTAATTATAAAAGAACATGAATGAATTATACTTCTGGCCTTTTTCAAGACTGTATTGTTCTTTCCACTGTAGACAATGTCCTAAATGATCTACAGATATAGGTCAATGGATGACATAATTTTTTGGTAACAGTTTGCCTCTCTCGTATTGTTGGTTCTACATACTAATCTTCTACATTTCTGATTTCTTTGTAACTCTTATCACAATTTCCATTCTTGTGATGAGCACTGGGTGTTATATGCACCTGATGAATTATTGGAAACTACATCTGAAACTAATGATGTACTTACTATATGTTGGCAAATGGAATTTAAATTTTAAAAAAGAGGACAGCCCCGGTGGCTCAGCGGTTTAGCGACACCTTCTGTCCAGGGCCTGATCCTGGAGACCCGGGATAGAGTCCCCCATTGGGCTGCCTGCATGGAGCCTACTTCTCCCTCTGCCTGTGTCTCTGCTTCTCTCTCTGTGTGTGTCTCTGATGAATAAATAAATAAAATTTTAAAAAAAATTTTAAAGAAGAGGGGGAAAACAACCTAAATCCTCCTTCACTTGAATAAATTTTAAATTAGGCATCACTCGTGTAATTCTTTGCTAGAACCTAATAAATTTTTCAAATTATTTTTCTTAGAGTCACTCTGATTTTCTCAAAACATTTCTTTTAAGGTAGTGAGGAAGTTAGTCACACGTGGTCTAAATTTCAAATTAAACTAGTAGAGATGTTAAAGGAAATTAACATCTTGAGCTTGGCTCAGGACGTGACTTGTGACTGATCGTGTCTGTCTCCTTCCCAGGAGTGTGAGCAACCAGACAGAAGGTACATTCCAGTGATTGCTGGATTTCCATTTCCCTTCAAGGCCTTGCACCCTCAGGTCTTCAATAGGTATTTGTTGAAATTAAGTTACTTCAACAAAATTAAATTTCTAAGTGAAAAGGCAAACACTTACCCCATCCGATTAAAGAGATGAACAGAATGAAATATTGAGGAAGAGGCTTCATGGTCCTAATGAGAAGGAAATAGAGCTGTGCAGCACTCAGTCCAGTCCAGGTAAACGTCACCAAAAGGAAATAGTGCAGCAAGGCAGCAACCACAGTGCACGTGGGATTCCGGACGTCATAAATATCTTGCGTGAGCATTTCATTCTGATCAGGGTCCATCTGAATGGTGTTATTATCTTTTTTTTTTAAGTTCTTATTGGAGTTTTCGATTCCAAACACAAAGAGGAGGTTAAAAATCAACATTGAGATGCAAAGACTGACCAACACCCAGGTTACTGAAGTTTTTCTGACGTTCCTGAAAACAATTTAGATATAATTAAACAAGATAAACTCTAGTGAAATTGTAAGTGAACAAAGAAACATTATTATCCAATGTAAATCCAGCTCATAGCCCAGTGGGCCAGCTAGTAAATCTCCCTTCCCAAGTATACCAGAAGAAAGTAAGTTAGAGAAAACAGTTTGATATGTCCCCTCTTAAAATTGTGTTGTAATAATAATAAAAAAAAATTGTGTTGTAATCAAAGGTGACAACTATTCTTCAGAGAGGACCCCTGCCTTGAATGCAACTTTCTGGTACCTATACCCTGTGTAGTGTCCTCCCAGGGCCAGCCTGTGACTTGATCTATCTAATGAAATGCACCAGAAGGCCTGACAGCTAGGGCCAACTTACTCAGCAGATAAAGTAGTCCTTTTGCCAATGATACTTTTACAGTCCCCAGCAAAGTTTTAACTCCTTTTAAAACCAGAAGGGACAAGAATGAACTTTCAGAGGTCAAAAAACAAATATGAGCATATAAGATTAATACATTCACCTTAATACCAATACAGTTGTAAAACAGTTTTCAAATCTTTTTTTATAGAGAAGGATCCCATAAAGACACTCTGCTTATGAAAATCATAATAAGCTTTCCCCTCGGTCTAGCTAACCTGCTGAAGAAACCACATAGGAATGCTCTGGGATTATATGGAGAGGGAGAAAGACCCAGCTATCCCAGCATCCCAGATGAGCCCCGATGAGTCCAACTCCGCCCACCATCTGACTGCAGCCTCACAGGAGACCCTAAGAGAGACCAATAGAAGACTCATACAGCAAGCCCAGTCAAGACACAGGATTGTTAGAGATAATAAAGTAATTTTTTAAGCCACCAACTTGTAGGGTAATTTCTTCTACCACAGTAGATAAAAGGTTCTACTCTAGATCTGCAAGGATATACAAAGGCTATCTATAGAAAGGCTCTAAATGGATTTTTAAAAATTTCAAAACAGGAAATTATTGCACGTTCATAGATGAATCCATGTTCAAAGGTAGAGAAAAAGTTGCTTGCATTTTAAAAAGTATTTTATATTAAAAAAAATCAAGTATGGATTTTAAAACAATAAGGCCAAATATAATTTTAAACTGCTATTATGCATTTAAAACAAAATGGTATAATATTTTGTTTACATTACATTTAAAGAGTAAGGTTCCCATAAACAATTTTAAATTAAGTAAAAATATTTAAAATTTGTTTCATGGCCTATTGCTGCTACTAAAGATATTTTGAGCAGACTGCTGCTTACTATCTCTTTGAAAGGCTTATGCTCGACAAAACCTCACATGTGTCTTTTCTGTAAGACATTTCATAACACTTTTTCCATCAAGGACTAGTGTCCCAAGGAGCATACGTTAGGAAATACTTGATGACAGTCAAATGGTCAAGATGTTCTGAATAAGCCTTTTAATATAAAACATGCTTTGACACTGTTCCTTCATTTGAAGATGTAATTTCTGGATGTAGAACTAAGTACTCTTTAAAACTTTTGAGTTTTTTTTTCTTTTCATTTTTACCTAAGATCTTTGCTAGAAAAGAAGAGCATCCTCTCACTTTGTCTTCAAGCTGGCACTGTTTACCAGTAGTCTTTAGAAGTCAGTGCAAGAAAGAGAGAGAAAGTGTGTGTGTGTGTGTGTGTGTGTGTGAGTGTGTGTGTGCATTGATATTCACGTCTGTGTTCTCTGGTGGCCCACCCGTGTATTTCCAGATTGGCAGAAAATTCAAGGTTGCCCTAACTAAGGCTGATCTCAAATGGGAGGTTTCATAACTCTTTACTGTGCCTGTATTGTTTTCCTTAGTGGGTAGACGTAGATAGATCCTTAAGTCCCCTCTAATGACATGTTACAATTCTCAGTATACTACATCATGTAGTCTTATATTAATTAAAGTTATAGAATCTCTATTCAGCACCATCTAAGCCTTTACAGAATTTTCAGACTATGAGGCTCCTTGGAATAATTATTTCCCTAAATGTATTACTGTGCTTAAAATTCTAATGTCTTTAAGTACCCACTTTTAATGTCCTAGAATCTGATGAATAACTCTGTTTGCCAATTACATATCCTTTATGATTTTATAACATTCTATCATGAATCTTCTCAGTCTTTGGGAAGGTGCACAAAAAGCATGTATTTAATGTATAAAAACCATATATTTAAACAGAACTCTGTTCATTCTCTTGATGTTTTATTTGAGATTTTCTGGATAATTCAAAATTTCAATCAGTCTTTGAAAGTTTTAATGACCAGAACTTCAAAAAGTACTCAAAGGAATCCTTTTATATAAAAATAAAGTTAGTTTCTGATTTTTTTCCAATTTCAAACATAAATTATACAGGGAGAATGGGCTATTTTCAAATAGCCTGGCTCTTCTACTACCTTCTGTGCATTGATATTATTTTATTTTTATATATAATATACTTTATAATTTATATATTATATAACATATTTTATACTTAAATTATATATAATTTGTTATGACTTCTACACATTATATATAAATTATATATGATTATGTGGGATCCTGTCCATGAACAAAGAAAACTATTTGATACCCAATTTAAAAATCAATGCCATTTTTTAAATTTTGGTTTTTGCTTCCTGATGAGTTTTTAGTGACATTTATGGCAGTGAAACTGTGCTAAGAAACATGTTGATAGAAAATGGAAAAAAAGAAGTCCAACTGGAAGGAGTGAAATTTTAGGCAAAGAAACTACTTATGCAGCTACTGCAACTTATTCACATCGGATCAAATAATTGTTGAAGAGTGACTATGATAGAAATATAAACAAAAGGACATGGGGCAGCCTGGGTGGCTCAGCCGCTTAGCACTGCCTTCAGCCCAAGGTGTGATCCTTGAGACCCACATCGAGTCCCACATCAGTCTCCCTGCATGGAGCCTGCTTCTCCCTCTGCCTGTGTCTCTGCCTCTCTTTCTCCCTCTGTCTCTCATAAATAAATAGATAAAATATTTTTTAAAAATTAAAAAATAAAAAAATAAATGAAAGGACAAATATAAGAGTCATTTCCTCTCATATGACAGACATATAATTACATGGCATGGAATTTTCCTTCAAGGCACTTATCACTATTTGTAATTATATACTTAATCCCGTATATATCTGTATAACATCTCTCTTCCTCCAAGAATGTAAATACCATGAGAGATGGAGCTTACTTGTCTCGTTCATAGTTTTATATTCAGTCTGCACATGGTGCACTCAGTATAAAAACTCAGTATAAAAGTATTAGTTTTTAAGCACTCAGTATAAAAACTTTAAGTGAATGGCAAGAGACTCATGAAGAGTGATAAGTAAAGAAGAATCAAAAGGAATTCTGGCTCTTTGAAAAAAATGGCTCATTCTAAGTATGAGGCAGAGAAAGTAAAAAATTTGCCTAGGTCATCTTGCTGTACCTAAAATAAGAAAGTGCTGATGGGGATATACCAAAACAACATGAAGCGATTCCCTTTGGTTCCAGTGTGTAGAGTACACTTCTTTACAAAGGAATACAGTAACTAAATGTAAAAATAATAACAGGTAAGAAAATCATCATTTTCAACCACCAATGTAGTAATATATTCCAGTAAGGATCATCAGTGGACACCAAAACCACTGAGTAAAACTTGGGGAACATAATAGCATCCTATAGATCACCTGTTACTTACAAAGGGAAAGAACATGAGCCCTTAGGGTGTAGAAATCCAGTAGACACCACTGTAACCAAGGGATCAATAATGAGACAAACTGACACTACATGCTTCATGCTCTACCACCCTGAGAAAGACTTAATCTTTTAGTATTCTCATCAAAAATATTTAATCTGAAAAAAAATTAAAAAAAATATTTAATCTGTATCTAATCCTATGGAATATGACAGACAAATCCTAAACTGTAGAATATTCTATCTTCTACAGCATAACTGACCTGAACATCTCAAAAGATTTAATGTCCTAAAAGACCAAAACAAACAAAAAAGCAGAGGAATTATTTTAGGCTAAATGAGACTAAAGAGACATGACAACTGAATGAATTGGAGAAAACAACCACTCAGCTATAATGAACATTACTGGGACAATTAGGGAAATTTTAATATGGGTTATATATTAACACGGTAATAGTATATTAATAGTAAACTGCTTGAGTTGAATTTCCTGAGTGAGAATGATGGTATTATACCACAGAGGAGAATGTCCCTGTTCTCAGGGAATACTTGAACAACTGAGACATGACAGTCATGATGCCTACAACTTTGAAAATTTCAGAGCAAAAAATATAAAAAAGATATAAAGCAAAATATTAATAATTAATGAATCTAGGTGAAGGGTACATGATTGTTCAGTGTTCTCTCAACTATTCTGTGGCTTTTCATTTTTTAAATAATTTTTTTTTATTTTAAAAATTTTTAAAACTCCAGGAAGGATTTTTAAACAGCAATGCCTTTAAAATAAAAAATTCTGAATTTGTACATCTGAAAAAAACATTTATGAGGGAATTTAGTAGGCAGGAACAATTCTGAAGAAAAGATGAGTTCATCTTGAGACATCTTGAGTTTAAGAGGAGAACCAGGTAGGAATGTACAATAAACTCACTTACTCCACAGGTATCCTTCTACTATGGGCCAGGTACTGTGCTCAGTCCTGGGGATACAGTGATCAAAATAAACAATAACAACAACAAAAAAAAAATCAGAGAAGGTCACTGTCCTCATCAATTTTCATGGTGATGGGGAAAACAGATAGCACACAAGTAAACTAATGAATAACAAGCTTATATTTACAGATTATTAAAAATATAGCATATAAAAAAACACAAGTGCTATACAAAATTGGACCTTTAGTGAGGAGGTCAAGGTGGAAAGAAATGTATGTTTATACGTAATTTTTTAAATTAGATTTTTTAAACTATAGAATTCAAAAACTTTTAGGAACTTTCACCACTTGAAAACTTAATATATATTTTAAACTAGTTTAATTTTCAAAAACTTGCTGTTTAGCAATGTTTTGTTCTTTTACAAATGCAAATTGGTAGATATGGTTCTGTTCAACACAAGGGAAACTATAGCATTAATGAGCAATGGGACCATACTAGTTTTACATGACAAGCTTGTAATTACACGGTATACAATTTTTCTGCAAGGCACTTACCACAATTTTAATTATATAGTTATTTGTATGTATTTCCAAGCTTCTCCAGAACTGAGTATCCTCTTCTATAAAATGAATTTGTTGAACTAACTCTGATTTCCTTTTTAGTTCCAAGAACTGTATTCTGATGAGAATATGTGCAGAGGAAATAATATCAGGAGAGCAATTTCTCTCATAAGAAGAGCTTACTTCCCTTCTTACCTGGTGACAATCTGAAATACAATTGTGAGAGCCAGACCAGTAATGGACAGCGCACATCCAACGCTGGATAATATGTTTAGTGATTCAGGATATTTGTATTTCTTTTCAAAACTCTGGAAAATAGATTAAGACTTATATTTTTAAATAACCATTCCTGAAATGTCTATGAAAGTCAACATCATAAGAAGTTACAAGTGTCAAAATAACCAGAGAATTTCTAGATACATCTTCTCATAAAACTGTTATGTTTTAAAAGGAAATAAATTAATCCCTTATCTCTGAGTAGTTTATATGAAGTATAATGTTGAGAACAATGATTTAATTCAGTTAGGGAAAATATATATGCTTTTCCTCAATGTTTAAAATCAAAGTTGTTTGGATTAGATCTAAATTTTTTTTTACATTTTTAGGGGATCCCTGGGTGGCTCAGTGGTTTGGCGCCTGCCTTTGGCCCAGGGTGCAATCCTGGAGTCCCTGGATCGAGTCCCGTGTTGGGCTCCTGGCATGGAGCCTGCTTCTCCCTCCTCCTGTGTCTCTGCCTCTCTCTATGTCTATCATAAATAAATCTTTAAAAATAATAAATAAATATTTTTTTTTACATTTTTAAATTTAAATTCAGTTTGCCAACATATAACACCCAGTGCCCATCCCATCAAGTGCCCTCCTCAGTAGATCTAAACTGACTAAAGTTACTTCATTTATCCCTTACATTATTTTTATGTGTAATTATAATCTAAGAAGAAATCTGCATTCCTAAGCTGGTGCATTAAAAATAAAGATGCAGAAATATTTTTTGGACTTGGAAAGATGTTCATTGATCCTGTAAACTTTTTTTTTAAAAAAGAGGTCTAGTTTTTGTCTAACATATCTATATCTATGCTAGTATTTTAGTATATATTCCTAGATAAGTATATTCTATGTGAGTATGTGCTCTTAGAAGTCTGGAGAGGTAGGAATGGGGGTCCCTGGGTGAGTAGGATATGTACAATTTTTGCCTGTCTTTATTTTAATAATTTAAAAAATTAGAAAGTAATATTTATATAACATGAAAGTAATATAGAAGCATTAAAAAAAAACCCTATAGGGCATCCTGGGTGGCTCAGCTGTTTAGCACCTGCCTTCGGCCCAGGGCATGATCCTGGAGACCTGGGATCGAGTCCCACATCAGGCTCCCTGCATGGAGCTTGCTTCTCCCTCTGCCTGTGCCTCTACCTCTCTCTCTCTCTCTCTCTCTCTCTCTCTCTCTCTCTCTCGCTCTCTCAAGAATAAATAAATAAAATCTTTAAAAATAAATAATAAATAAATAAATAAATGAATTTTTAAAAATTTAAAAACCTATAGATTTCTTTTAACTACCAGCTACACATACCACTCTATCTCTTGAAATCCTACCTCTTCTCCAAAGATGATCTTTTTTTAAATGCCTACAAATATTATTTGTGTCTCTTGTACAAATATATAGCAGTTTGTTAACATATTTTAATTTGAATTGCTATTTTAATTCAAGATGTCATAAATATTTTTCCATACTAGTGTATTTCTGTTCAACAGATAAACATTCATATCTTATGCAATAAGTATGTATTTGCTTATAGGAAGAAAACAAAAATAAAACAAATTCCATTTTTAAAAACAAAAGTTTCACATTATTTCCTGTGTACAGTATACTGAGGAAATACCAAAGAATCATAGAACATACATAGATTATCAGACTTTAGAAATCATCTATTCACTTAGAGCCTATCTGCCCCTACTTTACATACAATCCTAATCAGACTTTTAAAAAAATTGGCAACCCAAAACTAATTACAGGTGTGAGTGGTAGGCACTGAGGCAGACTCAGACATTAATGAGAAGAAAGAAGAAAAGAAAGAAAAGAAGGAAAGAAGGAAGAAGAAAAATAACTATGACAATGTAGTCTGTATCATTTAATATATATAACATATATATAATATATATAACATATAATATACATAACATATTATATATATACACATATATATTATATATATATATATAATATATATATATAACAACCAGGCTTTACATAGCTAGTGAATGATACTAATGATCTTAAAGATACTCAAAAAAGTTAAAATTTTATCTTTACAGTTTTCTAATTAAGAAAGCAAATCTCTCGGAGCAGCTGCTGGCTCCGTCAGTTAAACCTTTGCCTTTGCCTCAGGTCATGATCCCAGGGTTCTAGGATTGAGCCCCACGTTGGGCTCCCCACTCAGCAGGGTGTCTGCTTCTCCCTCTGCCCTGCCCCCAGCTCGTGCTCACTCTCTCTGTCAAATGAATAAATAAAATATTAAAAAAAAGAAAGCAGATCTCTCTGTAATATGCTAGAAAATAAAATCAATTAAAATAAGAAAGGTTTGATTCTTAAAATAAGAAAACTGTAACCTCATAGTTGTCAGGATGGCTAAAATTCACAACACAAGAAACGAGGTGTTGGTGAGGAAGTGGAGAAAGAGGAACCCTCTTGCACTGTTGGTGGGAATACAAACTGGTGCAGCCACTCTGGAGAACAGTATAGAGGTTTCTCAGAAAGTTAAAAATAGAGCTACCCCACCATCTAGCAATTGCACTACTGGGTATTGACTCAAAGGATACAAACTTACTGACTCAAATGGGTACACTAATCCTGATATTTATAGCAGCATTATCAACAATAGTCAAATTATGGAAAGAGCCCAAATGTCCATAAAGAAGAAATGGGACACACACACACACACACACACACACACACACACACACACACACAGTGGAATATTACTCAGTCATCAAAAAGAATAAGATCTTGCCATTTGTAATGACATGGATAGAGTGAGAGTGTATTATGCTAAGCAACAGAAGTCAGTCACAGAAAGACAAATACCATATGATTTCGCTCATAAATGGATTTAAGAAACAAAACAGATGAAAATAGGGGAAGTAAAAATAGAGAGGGAGGCAAACCATAAGAGACTCTTAACTACAGAGAACAAACTGAGGGTTGATGGAGGGGAGCTGGAAGGTATGGGCTAAATGGGTGATGGGTATTAAGGAGGACACTTGTTGTAATGAGCACTGGCTATTATACGTAGGTGATGAGTCACTAAATTCTACTCCTGAAACCAATATCGCACTATGTTAACTAAGTAGAATGTAAACAAAAAAAGTGATACTAAAATAAAGTTAAATCTAGTGCATTAAAGAAAAGGAAATAGATGTCATAAAATCAATCAATCATTCAATCAATAAGAAAACTATAGTCATCTCAAAAAAGTTTATAAAACATGGTTCTATATTGGGGCACCTGGGTGGCTCAGTCGGTTAAGTGTCCAACTTTTGATTTTGGCTCAACTCATGACCTCAGGGTTGTGAGATCAAGCCCTGTGGCAGGCTCCACACTGGGAATGGAGCCTGTTCCTGCTTAAGATTCTCTCTGTCCCTCTCCTTCTGCCCTTCCCTACCCCATCTCCCTCTTAAAACAAAACAAAATCAAACCAAACAAAACGAGGTTCTATAATTTAAGGAAAATTCTCATCTGGAAAGAGATTACTATGTATATCCTTACCATTAATACAGCAAAATTAGTAGTATGGTTGCAGTGGCAGTACAATAATCCATCAGTGGCCCTAATTTTGTGACATCCATTCGTGTCCCAATCCTTTTTTGAAAAACTCCAGTAGACACAGGCATAGGAATAGAGCTGGAATTCTTTTGAGTCATACTATAAATCGAAAAGACAATTGCAGCCAATTATTTAAAAATGCCTAATCAGGTAGAAAAAATCAAATAAGATAAGCATATGAGAAATCTATTAGGTATCTACCAAGTACAACATCTTTGTTATAGATTAGGGAGGGAGAAAAAGGATATAAAATTCAAATTAGCTCATTTTGCATTTAGCTAGTCTGACAAAAAACGTGGACATGGGGAATGTTTAAATGAATATCTTCAAAGAATCTTTTAAAGAGTTTTTCTGTGAAATTAATATATTGTACACCTAAAACTAATATTACACTGTATGTTAACTAACTGGAACTAAATAAAAACTTTTAAAAAATAAAGAGTTTTCCTGTGGATTTCTTTTTCCCAACCAACCCTACTTTGTAATCAAAAGTGGCCTGAATTTTATTTGTTGCTGGAAAAACTCACCCTTGGATTAAAGACGATGTTAACAGAAGTTCCCTGATCTCCATTTTTATCAGTTTTGCTTGAGATAATTTTTTGACTAAAATCTGATTTAGTTTTAAAAGTTTTTGATTGGAAAAGCTTGTTCTTTTGATACACTACAAAGCCACATGACTTTGCGTCACCTGAGGAAAAAAGAAGAAAAAAACACTAAAATCAACAAACGAATCCTAGGGCAAAGAAAAAACAAAGTCCCATGTCATCGTTTAACTGCATGGCAGCTTAATATTTGAGCAAAGTACAGTAAAAATGGTTTGCTAGTTGAATCTTTACTTAATTGCAATATGTAATTAACATATGTAACCTGTGCCTGGCCGTTCCGTTTACATTACTTTTTTTTTTTCCTGAGTTCCAGATTCCTTACCTTCTAAATGGGAACGAAAATTTGGACCTAATCCACCCCGAAGAGGTATTATAAGGATCTCATGTATAAAATAAATATCTTGCTTCCTATACAGGGAAACAGAGTGAAGACATTCAGGTAGCCCAGGGCCGCTTCACCCACTGATAAGACATCAGACAAGAAACAGCAATGAGTGGATATCAAGACAGCAGTGCCTAGGAAAGTGCTCTGTGAGACCTGTTTCCTCTTAAAAGGGACGGAGCAGAAACCAGTCTATTCAGTCACAGAGTTTTAGGAGTTCACATCATGTCAGGGATTGCTTCCATGGAGCCAGATACTCTCCATTGTCTCTTGAACTGTTGGTCTCTGATACTTCATGATGATCACAGGGTTTTCCCAAGACTGGAAGGCTATTGTGACATATTTCTTCAGGACATTGGAAAAAAGTGGTAAGTTGCTCCTCAGATTTCCTAGAATGGCCATAGCAGAGGGTTTTGCATGGAAGCTGGCCATGACAATTGTCAAACAGAATGACCTGAGGAATGCCCCTAACACTTTATACAACTGATGGCCCTATTTAAGGCAGAAAAAGTTATAATAATTTTATATTTTAACTGAATTAATTTTCTAAACTCTACATGTGATACCAGGAAAACTAAAACAGTAGCAGTGAGGCAAGCCTATTTAGTGTGATTGGAGAGATAGGCAGACAAGAGCCTGACAGGCCCTAAAACATCCTCCACAGCCAGCCATGTTCTATCCTCTACCTAGACATAAAGACATTGCTTTAGGGAGCTTTTTCATGGCACATTGGCCTTGCCAAGTTGTTCCTTCTGAACGTTGGATGACAAAGTTAACCCTAAAATTGCAGTAAGACTTCTTTTCATTATTGTTATATATATATATATATATATATATAACAGAATATATGTTTTATATATATATATAAAAGAATGACATGCTTGATGGAAAAGTCAAATCCAGGGGTGCCTAGGTAGCTCAGTTGGTTAAGAATCGGATTCTTGACTTTGGCTCAGGTCATGGTCTCAGGGTCATGAAACAGAACCCCATGTCAGATTCTGTGCTCAGTGGAGAGTCTGCTTGAGATTCTCTCTCTCCCTCTCCCTCTGTCCTTCCCCCTGCTTATGCATGTGTGAGAGCACGCCCTCTCAAATAAATACATAAATCTTTTAAATAAATAAATAAATAGATAGATAAATAAATAAATAAATAAAGTCAAATCCATAGAAATATATAAGTAAAAAAATGAAAGTCCCTGCTTATCCCTCTTCTCATTCTTAAAGTATTTTGGTCACTTATTAGAAAACAATCACTTTTATATAGATATTCAGATTTATTAGAATGAAATTCTATTCACCATTATAAATTTTTTAATCTCCATATTTATAGATATACCTTCTTGATGCTTATTTATATTCTTTCTCTCTTTCCCTTTTCTTGATAAAATTTGTTAGAATCTTGCCTATTTTATAAGTCTTTTCATTGAGTCGATGTTCATTTTGTTGATCAAGTCTAGCATTTGTTAACTTCCATTTTTTTATATTTTATTTATTCATGAGAGACACAGAGAGAGGGAGAGAGAGAGAGAGAGGCAGAGACACAGGCAGAGGGAGAAGCAGGCTTCATGCAGGGAGTCTGACGTGGAACTCGATCCCGGGTCTCCAGGATCAGGCCCTGGGCTGAAGGCGGTGCTAAACTGCTGAGCCACCTGGGCTGCCCTGTTAACTTCTATTTTTATTAAGTTTCCCCATTACATTTATTAATTCCTTCTCTTTTTAAAAAGATTTTATTTATTTATTTGAGAGAGAGTGAGAACAAGAGATACCACAGAGAGAGAGGGAGAAGGAGAAGCAAATGACGGCTGAGCAGAAAGCCCAATGTGGGGCTTGATCCCAGGACCTGAGATCATGACCCAAACTGAAGGCAGATGCTTAACCAACTGAACCACTCAGGCACTCCTATTAATTCCTTCTTTTTAGTTTCTTTACATTTATTTTATTTTTATGCTTCTTTAGTTGAATGCTCAGTTCATTCTAAAAATCATAAAATATGTCCCTTTCAGTCCTATGTCCTTGTCTTTTAACAGTGTGTTTTAGCCCATTTGAAAAGATTGATAATTTATATGGAATAAGAAGTTAGACCCCTATCTTTCACCAAACATATAAATTCTACGTTCACTGAAGACCTAAATGCATACACAAACACTAAAAACATGCAGGAGAAAAATAAGAACTATTGTAGTGAATTTAACACAGAGAAGTATTTCTTTTAAAAAGTACCAATTATAAAGGAAAATACTGATACATTGGATTGCCCTATAAATTAAAAATTTGGTATGACAAAAGACCTCAAAAGCCAAGCAAAATAAAGCTACATACTGGAGGAAAGATATTTGCAACTTTATAACCAACAAATAATTAGTGTCCAGAGTACATAGTGTGGAGACTATATGGCCAATAAGGAAAAGACTTACAATCCAATAGAGAAATGATCATAGTATTTGAATAGGCAAGTCGCAGAGTAGAAAATCAGAATGTTTAATAAAGACATGAAAAGGAAGAAGAAATTCTAACTTATCATTGAATCTCCAAGCTGCAAAAGGAATACTTGCCATTTATATCAACATGGATGGAACTGGAGGGTATTTTGCTGAGTGAAATAACTTGATCAGAGAAAGACAATTATCATATAGCTTCATTCATATATGGAATATAGGAAACAGCACAGAGGATCATAGGTGAAGGGAGGGAATGCTGAATGGGAAGTCATCAGAGAGGGAGAAAAACCATGAGACTCTTAACTACAGGAAACAAACTGAGGGTTACTGAAGGGGAAGTGGATGTGGGGATGGGGTAACTGGGTGATGGGCATTAAGGAGAGCATGTGATGTGATGAGCACTGGGTGTTATAGACAACTGATAAATTATTGAACACTGCATCTGAAACTAAGTATGTACTATATGTTGGATAATTGAATTTAAATTTTAAAAAAGGAATATGTGGGATGCCTGGATGGCTCAGAGGCTGAGCTTCTGCCTTCAGCCCAGGGCGTGATCCTGGAGACCCGGGATCGAGTCCCATGTTGGGCTCCCTGCATGGAGCCTGCTTCTCCCTCTGCCTATGTCTCTGCCTCTCTCTGTGTCTCTCATGAATCAATAAATAAAATGTTAAAAAAATTTTAAATAATAAAAGAACATAACAATATTTTAACGTATTTATCACATAGACAAAAGTTCATAAGCTTGATAACATCTGAATAAATCTCCCAAAAGAGATGTTTAGTTTAAAAAAAGTGAGTTCCATACAACATGATACCACTTGGGTAAATATTTAAAACCCACAAAATAGAATATTTTATTACAGATATATAAATATGTAGCAAAAGTTTAAAGACAACCATAAAAATGAAACACACCAACTAAAGAAAGATATAAGTTCTGGGGGAAGGGATGGGAAAAGATAGGGCACACGACTTCAGGTACAGCTGCAACATCTTCCTTTTTTAAGAGGTCTGAGGCAAACATAGCAAAATTTGACATCAATTGACCTTGCTGGTGGGTACATGGGTGCTGCATGCATTATTTTCCATACTTTTCTATATGCATGAGATATTTTTAAATTAAAAAGAAAGCACAGAAAAGAACATAAAAGACTTAGATTTAATCTCCAGTTTCACAAAGCATGTAGCCAAAGCAAATGGAAGCAAAATTCCACAACATGCCAGATCATGACCTCCTTCCTTATCAGTGCTATTATGAACTCTAAAATATGTACTTTCTGGCATTGGATTGCTTTTTAAGTTTTAGGCTTTTTTTAGATGAGGGAGGGGCTGAGGAAGAGGAAGAGGAAGAGGAAGAGAATCTTAAGCAGGCTCCAGCCAGCACAGAGCTGATGTGGGGCTTGCTCTCACAACCCTGAGATCATGACCTGAGTTGGTGACATCAAGCTTCTGAAGTTTAACCAACTGAGCCACCCAGGCACCCCACATTGGATTTTTTATTTGGGGATAGAATAAATATGTGTGCTTGCTTTGCTTACTATTATTGTCAAAATAACCATTCTTTTAGGCTTTGAAAAGTACAAAGATTTCATGTTAGACATAAAATTTTCTGAAGGACCATATGCAAGATGATAGGAAGCCCATGGTGAGCACTATATTAGTGGAGATAACTAAAATCTGTTGCTACAAGATGATGACTGTGCCAATTACATAAAATATCCCAAGGCAGGTCCATAGGATGAATCTGAGTCTACGAGTGCCATGCCATCAGTAAATATGGGCAAAGTTTATTACTGAGTATTTTTAATATATTTTTAAGTGTAAAACTGACCTGCATTAGCTAGATTTTTCTTAGAAAACCTACTCGTGTCCATGACCAGAGCATTTCAATTCTGCTCCAAAGATTTTTGAAAAGGAAAAAAAGGAAAGAAATCCTCTCCGTCATCTACAGTAGCAGAGTCGAGATTACCATAATTTGTCAGAGCTCAAATGTACTCAAATGCAAATTATGCAGTATGAAACAAAGTAAATATTATTCTTTGCTCAGTGGATTTTAAAATACTAATTCCATAAATTTGAGTGTACTTTAAAAAAGATTCTATTGATTTATTTGAGAGAGAGAAAAAGCCTGTGTGTGTGCATGAGTGGACAGAGGGACAAGCAGACTCCCTGCTGAGTAGGGACCCGGATGCTGGAGCTCAATCCCAGGACCCTGAGATCATGACCTGAGCTGAAGTCAGATGCTTACAAACTGAGCCACCCAGGAACCCCCAATTTGAATGTATTTTTTAATGCCACAAAGTTTGAGACCTACTTTTTGAGGTATGGAGCAAGATTTGAAGCTCAGTCTCCAGGTCTGGATTAAGTGCGTCCACGTTTGTCTCCACAACTGTGGAACCAGAAGTGAGAGAATCACTAGTTCCTGTGAGAAGGAAAAAAGAAGAATTTTTAAAATCTACATTTTTCATAGACAGAGCATTATTCATGGTTGATAGCAGAATGCTGTCTGCTATTTTAAGTGCATGAGACACACCGCTTACCTTTCTTAACAGAGAAGCGAACATTTTTAGACTGTTCAGTGCCTTCTGAAGAGAAAGCCACAGACTGTACTGCCACATTAGGTTCCACCACTGACTCGTTACCCAAAGACATGGAGTAAATTTCCATTTGCTCAATAAGCCTGTGTAGAATAAAACATAACAATGTAATTTTCTAGAGATTTGTCATAAAACCAAAGGTGTGTGTTCTCTCCCACATTCCAATAGAAAAGCTCAACCATAAAACTCGTGATCACAACAGCATTGGCATAATCAACTTAAAATAATTTATTTTCTTCACCAGAGTCTTGCTTTATTATACATACTTTTTCTAAAGTTCTAATGGACTGACTCCCCTGAAGGATACTCTGTATACAGATGCCAGCAAACTGGAACTCAAGAGTGACCAATTTCCCCACAGAAATAGTCTTTATTGTGTTGTTCTTCATATAAAGGATCCTGTTACTACCCATCATTGGCCAGACATGCTCTTTATGTTTCTCCAATTATGAGAACCAATTTCCACTTATTCAACTCCTTCCTCTCACCCAAACTCCTTGGAGTCTAAAGCATCTCCTGTTAGCCGTTGGTTCCAGAGGCAACAGTTCATTTGGAACCATGCAAGAGTAGAGCTCTGAGCTCACTGCCTCAGTCATTAACTAAACGTTGCGGGTTTCCACAATGTTCTTTTCTACTTGGGATAATTTCAGAGATAAGATTAGATGGAAAATGGGAGCGAGTTAGAGAACCTGTCAGTTTGGTGATCTCCATAGAAAAGTCTTAAGACCTTTTTATTTGCCTTGTTTCCTAGAAGAAATATTTGCACTATTTCTATACTGGACCAAACAAAATCTCGAGAGCTTAGATAACTGATTCAATCTAGTTTTCCCAGAAATGAAGTGATTTCATTAAAATGTAGTTGTTCCATATTCTAAATCCTTTATTTTGGCCACTAAAGTATTTTTCCCTTTCCCCAAATAACGTAATCAAGAGACAAATTTTAAAATAATTAAAGATTGCTTTTATAAAGAGAATAGATAATCATTTATATGGAAACATTTGAGTTGGCTTTTTTGTTTTGAATGTGTTCTTTTCATAACGCCATTTTCTGAATTTTTAGCAATCCACATTGTATATTTCCCACTTAATAACAATTATACTCTAGGGCTGCTTTCCACAGGAGGAATACATAACAAAATTCTCATCTTCTAAGAACATATTTCATGTATTTGTCAACCAAATAATATCTGTTGAGCGCCTACTAAGAGGTCATACCCCCGTGAAACACTGGTGATAGCAAGAGGCACTCCCTCAGGCATTTGAGGCTAAAGGGAAGGAAGTACTAGATATCTGGGAATGACTGCAGAGTTCACAACCACTTCGAAAGGGTTGCTCTAGGGGCACCTGATTGGCTCAGGGGTTGAGCGTCTGCCTTTGAGGTTGTGATCCCAGGGTCCTGGGGTCAAGTTCTGCATCGGGCTCCCTCCAGGGAGCCTGCTTCTCCCTCTGCCTATGACTCTGCCTCTGTGTGTCTCTCATGAATAAATAAATTTGAGGGAAAAAAGAGGAAGAAAGAGAAAGAAAGAAAAGAAAGGAAAGAAAGAAAGAAAGAAAGAAAGAAAGAAAGAAAGAAAGAAAGAAAGAAAGAAAGAAAGAAAAGCAAGCATTGCTGGAGCCACAGCCATTTTGAAGGCCATTTTTTTCTACCATATGATTCTTCCCTGCTCTTGCCCCAACGGATTAGATTAGAGATGGGTGTCTGCCTCAGAGTACCCAATGCAGAGGCTGGCCATTGACCAGTACAAATAACTGGAAGAAGCAGATTCTTTTCACTGAAGAATTTTCAGGTTAGTGCCATAGTTATTTCAGGAAAGTCCTGAGTAAGAGGGGACCAGAGAGGTCATTCTGTCATTGTAAGGACAAATACAAATTTAAAATAAGAGACTTAATTTTTTGAAAATAAAAGAGGCAATTTCTTTCTCCTCCTTTTCCTTTGAGCATCTACTTTAGAAAAAAAAACTGTAGAAGGTCTTTCTCTTCTCTTTGAAATATAATTTTTTTTTGAAAACTAGATTGGCATTTTGTGTACTTAATGACTCAGGAATGGCTTTCTCAAGGACATGAAAGCCATCTCTTTGGAATATAAACATCAAGGGAGTTAGTGCCCCTATTTCCGAGTTCCTGTGGAGGGTAGGAGCTTAATTTTAGTGTGTGGGTACCTTGCTCCAAGTTGCAAAGCGGCCTCCTGTCACAAAGGTGTAAGAGGTTTGTTCTTCCTTTGGATAAAGTCAGTGAGCTAACACAGATGGTCACCTCAGTTACCAGGTTAACTTAATATGAACTATGTGTGACAGCATTGTCAGGTTTTCTTAATTGAGGGCTAGTTATTGATTACCTGAAAACATGTATGTAATGGGTTATATCTGCTTGGCTATATAAGGAGGTGAGATTCTTCTCTGTCTGCAATCAATTGGTGTTTACCTGTGATTGATACACATCACATTCTGGTTTAACACTTATGCAATGAAAAGTGTTTTTCCTTCTCTACTGTCTTTGTGGAGAGCACTTCTGGGTTGAGAAAAGATTTTGTTTTTCATTATATTTCTCCAACGTCGCAAAAATAGTTAATTTATGAGAGAGCAGAAACTAGAAGATGAAATATACAAGTTTATTAAGTCATGTTAATTATAAAGACCAACTGTTAACCTTTTTTTTTCAAGACCAAATATATAAAAGTCAGGTATCGTGCAAATGATTCACATATATTATCTCAGTGAAGCCTCACAAGAATCCTACTAAAGTGAGCCCCAAAAGTTACTCCTATATTATACTGAAGAATCTGAGTCTCTTCTAAGAGAAATGAATTTGGCCAAAATCATATACCTACTACATAGCAATGCTAAGATTTGAACCTAGGACTGTCTGACTCCAATATAACCATCATATTATCCCAGAAGGGAGGCCCACATAGTCCTCTACGGGGACTTTCAGAGCTGCCTGGGATTCCCTGCCATCTCCCTACTCCAGGATCCATAAAGCCCACCATATTATAATACTGTTCTTAAGTTCCCATGAGATTCCATAAGCCTCTTTAGGATAAATCGCTGGTCAAGATAATTTAAGTGAGCATCTTTTAACCAAAGGAGGCTGACTAGAACAAAAATACCAATAGAAATGTGAAATGTAAACATATAAGGTGGTCAGTATTAGAGAAGCCGTTTTACATTCCAAGGATAGGTAAACAGACAATTATGAGCCTGAATTTGACAGCAAAGTTTCAGGGTGATAGATCAGTCTTTGCAACAAGTGGTCAAGTGGAGAAATGAGGTCTTAGATTCACTGATCGTAATAGGATGCCCTTAACAGCAGAGACTTTGCCCATGATGCCTCTCAACTTAGACCAGGAGAACAGATGGACGGATGCTAGAAAACTTCACTATGACAAACTGAGCCAGCTGGAGCTGGGCAGGTTTTTTCCCTCCCTGTCACTCTCCTGTTTTACTCTCACACTGTCCACTTCTCCCCATGAGTGGAGAAGGGGAGTCCAGTAGTTTAGAGATGCAAACAGAAAATCGTAAATGAAAGAAGGGAACAGCCAAAGTAAGATGGGCAACTAAGGCCCAGTGTCTCTCAGGAGACCTTGCATCTAGGCCTAGGTTCAGGAGACAGAGTTTGGAAAGGAAGAGTTCCCCAGAGAAGCAATTCCCTTCCCCAGGGAGAGAGAAACATTAGAATCGCCTCTGCTGGCAGTTCCTGAGAAGTACTAAGGGCTTGGTGAGCTGATGTAGGAGTTGGAGCTTGAAGTGACAGCCTTATCTAAATGAATGAAGGCCTGAGTCCACAAGGGCTTATGCATAAGATCACATGGGAGAGACAACTGACAGACCAGGATTAGAAAAGTAAGCAGACCAGAAATCCAGAGTGGGAGGAATTACTATGAGTGCAATTGTAACATTTCATGTTTCAGTGTGTCCCATATTTAAATTTTTTATTCATCCTCTAATCACCTCCTTTGAAGCCTTTGGAGATTGCACATAAATCATACAGAATCAATTTTTTCTGTAAGCCAGTAAAATTCATAATTTCTTATTGTCAGGATAGTATTTTCATCTGTATCATAATGTGTGACTTTCTCAGCTGAATCTCATAGTTGCTCTCTCCTCAGCTTTCTCACCAGAAACATCCACCCTTCTCCTTTCTCCCTAGCAAGACTGCAAACAGAGTCTCCAGCTCTGAAGGGAGCCCACTCTGGCTCTCAAGCTCCATGTTCACTGAACAGAGACTCTGAATTCCATGGCCACTTCCTTCTCCAACTTCAAGAAAAATGGGAGTCTTTACACTCCCAGTGAGAAGGACCCAGACTCCTACTGAAATCTGAAGTCATAGAATACACCAGTAAAACTGTTGAAGCAACCACCTCTACCACCGTCTTTCAGAATTATAATCTTTTGAATGTTCCATCCATTTCATGATTTTGTGCTTTTTCTACATTGAGGGCTCACTGTAAAAATTAGAATACTGAGAGCTATTTCTAGGAATTTCTCCTAAAAATTATGGGCCATACAAACAGAGATTATGTATAAGAATGTTGGTTGCTCAAAATAGTAAAAGAAAAAAAAAATAGTAAAAGACTTGAAGCAATCTAAATGTCCCTCAGGAGGAATTGCTTAAATAAAAGTTCACTCATGCAGTATCTAAAATTTATGATGTATATGTGTGGATATTTATACTGAAAAGATGTTCATAAGGTATTAAGTGACAAAAAACAGCTATAAATCAGTAATATGTAATATGATACAAACACAAAAACACATACAGAGAAAAACACCTGGAACAATATATACCAACAGGTTAAAAAAGGTGGGACAATTTTTTAAGTTTTGCTCATCTATATATTTTCTTATTTTTCTATGGTGAGTATGTATATTTACTTAATTTAAAAAAAATTAAAACTATATATAAGATAAAAACATAATGAATCCTAGTAAGGGATCTCTATAATAAAGCACATGAGTTTTATTACAAATATACAACTAAAAGGTGCCCAAACATAGGAATCAAAAAGAGAGAAGGCAGGTAGAGTTGGATTCTTTTTTTTTTTTTTTTCCAATGTAGCCTTGGGAAAGCTAAAGAAAGCTAAACCAAGACACACCAGGATGTTGGGGCTAGCCGAGTCGTGTACAGGCAGCTGGCAACGTGTCCTGCAAAGTCATGCTATTATTTTTAGCTCTGTACATTGAGAAAACAGTTGGAAGAGCTCCTACTGCGCCTGCAGGCTGACCTTTGGCCACACCCAAGGTAAGGCTAGGAACATAGGTTCTAATCTGAATCATCCCAGTTGCTCTCTACCTCCTGGACCGTGGCCTCCCCAGGAACCAGGAGTTCACATGTAGCACTCTGTCTAAGCAATGAAGATCAGATCAGGTGATCTGGGAAAGGTGGAAAGCCAAGGCTTTGGTCTGCATTCCTGGGAATCAGCCAGTTAGTGCATCCATGAGAGAAATCAAGACATCTTTCTCAATGCTGTACCCCAGGAAACTAACTAGCACTTTGTGATGTCTTCTTTACCAACTGGAATTGTGCTTACGTTGCAAAGGTATCATCATAGTCAGTAGCAGCAGCAGCACTTTGAAAAACATCTTCTTTGGCTTCTAGAAGTTGACTCACTGTGGCTACAGCAACAGCTTTCGCCTGCCAGGGAGAAGGCAGCAAACAATCATCGTAGAAGACGTGTCATATACCATCCTCACCACCATTATCAAGCATTATTATGGGGTCAAGTGGCACCATTAGAACGGTAATCTAGAGGCAGATATTTTTCAAAATTTAAGGTGTCATTTTAGATAGCAGAGAGAATAAAGGTAACACATGGTGAAAATTTAAATGGAGTCCTTCAGGAACCTTAGGTTTCTGAATTCGGCCTCAAAGCGAGGTCCTACACAGAACCTCTACCCCAACCCCAGGAACACCGAAGCAGATGCACACAGAAGCAGAAACTAAGTAAGATGCAGGGCTCTGATGGTGGAAACATAGCCCACAACACGTAGTATAACTCTCATACTTACTATTGAACCAGGTAAAGTGATTTCTAGTTTTGTCTTTCTTTCCATGTCTTTTTTTCCCTCCCCCTCCCCCCTTTTAAAAAGCTTGTGAGTTTTACCTCAAAGGAAGCATTTCTGGATGTGTTGAAGATCTGCCCAACCACTCTTGTAGCAGAAGTGACATTGTCAGGAGTTATTCTCTTGACATCAGATGTTAAAATCTGAGCTTCATTGGAAATATTCAGAGACTGTGATGAGATGTTGTCTATCTGTTTAAGAAAAAAACAAAAACCCTAACTTCATACAGCTATGTCTAAACACTTTGCAAGCAATTGCAGGTGGGAATAAGCTGGAATTTAGCTGATAATTTCATGAACATCCACTTGGTTCTTCATGTTTGCTTCTCTCCTTGAGTAAAAGACACAGTACATGCAGGCTGGTGGTTTTTCCAGCTCTTACTATGGGCCAGGATTAATGAACTAAGACAGGCTGCCATAGGTAGATCGATGCTCCTCAAGGTGGGATCCATGAGCCAATGTTGATTCACTGTTTGTTACAGGCTTCATAGGAAGGCAAACACAGAAACTGAGGGTAACTGGTCAGAAACTTACACAACAATTGGATGCTGGTGAACCCAATGATTCGTTTCAATGATTTATATTTAGATGGTAGCTACACTTGGGTGAGCATAGCACAACATATAGACTTGTTCTAATCACTGTTTTGTACACCCGAAATTAATGTAACACTGTGTGTCAACGATACTTCAATAATAAATAAATCTTTTTTAAAAGAGGAAGAAAAAGATTTATATTTTACCTTTTATCATCCCATTTTCCTAATAATTAATTTTTACTACATTTTACAAAATTATTGGTCTGCAGGGGGTTGGAAATTGTTAAAACAGCTTTTCAGCGCAGATTGGGAAACACTAAACCCTATCTCCAGGTACCAGCTGGCCCCCTGGCTCTGGTGTTGTGAGGCTAACACCAGGTGTTAATGTGCACGTGTATGTGGCTTAGTTTTTTCACTAGATGGCAGCATTATTTCAAAAATCAAGCCAAGGTTACAGGCCATTCACAGGGGAGAGTTGAAAACAGTATTCAATCAATGTACAGAAATGAAGAAAGCTCTCATTCAATAGCTAGGTCTCTGCTCTGGGCCAGGCACTTTCCTGGATGTTTTGTAGGTATTATCACATTTAATACACAAAACAACACTATGAATGGAGCATCCTCATCCCTGTTTAAAGGTTTGGAGAGGGGATCCCTGAGTGGCGCAGCGGTTTGGCGCCTGCCTTTGGCCCGGGGCGCGATCCTGGAGACCCGGGGTCGAATCCCACGTCAGGCTCCCTGCATGGAGCCTGCTTCTCCCTCTGCCTGTGTCTCTGCCTCTCTCTGTGTGTCTCTCATGAATAAATAAATAAAATCTTAAAAAAAAAAAAAGAGAGAGCCAAAAACTGGTTAGTGAGACTCCAGAACATGAGGTCTTTCCCCCAGTTTGTGAAGTTGGCACAAACTATGGCATTAGCATCCACCTCTACTCTCCACTCCCAACCCCATTTCTACCCCTAACCCTGTCTATCTGCAATTAGGGAGCCAGCATGAGACAGTGTGTACTTTAAAATAAAAATCCTTTTTGGCTATGGTTCACTGCACCTCTCAGAGATAGCTTCCTCATCTATAAAATAGGTACATTAATAACTATATGGTTGTTGTAAGAATTAAATATGACAAAATAACATCTAAAGTGTCGCACAGTATTTGGCACACAGTAATTGCTCAATAATTAGTATAATCACTATAATTATCTATGAGAATAACTGAGGTTCTAGAAGAACTAAATGAGATAATGTATTTGACATGCCCTACACTTAGAAGGACCAAAGTTTCCTTCTCCTCCCCTTCCTTGGCCCCAGATATTAGCCATTCCATGCATTTGCATTTAGGTATACACTAGGTTAAAATAATGTAATGAAAAAATTGAAAAAATATCTAATCATATGTATTACCTACTTCACTGGCTCATAGATAAGCCCTGAGATGAGCATTAGGGTCTCAAAAGGTCTTTTTTGGTTGTTGTTTTTTCTCCCCCTTTATTTTTATTCTGATTCAGTTGACCATCAAAATACATTCCCTTTGGTCTCAAATGTCAGTGATCTATTTTCAGTCAACACTTCATTGGTCTAAAAAGATGAGGCTATTTAAAATCTGTTATAGATCATCATTTGCTAAAATTTGCTGAACCAACAGGTCCAGTAGTCCCTTTTCACAAACAGATATCAACTTCAAAAAAAAAAAAAAAAAGAGTGGTTTTAGTTACCAGTTTTCGTTATTTCTAATATGAGAGTTTTAAACGCATTGGCCATTAGGTATTTAAAGAACAGACTTACATAGTCCGAACTTTCTCCAGTTGCCCAGCCCATGGCCTCTGTGGCATACCTGTTTTGCCAGGGTTTCCAGATTTTCATTGCAATTTCCTATGGTCACGTTTTGTAATACTATCACTCCATACTTAGTAATATTGCACAGCCGCGTTGCCATTGGATTGCCCGCTTTAATAAAAAGAAAAAAAAAAGACTGTTTGCAAAGATGGCAAGATGCACTAGCAATTTTCTGCTCCTGTACACATCCCCTTCCGTGTGATTTTGCGACTCCCACTTCTCCATTTTCTGAATCTGGACTGGACTTATCACTTGCGTTGACCAAGAGAATGTTCTGTGAGAGTTCCAGAACCTGGGCCTCAAGACTTGAAGTTGCAGCCTTTCTGTCTTGGGACACTGCCCAGAGACTCTTGTGTGGGGAAGCAGCTCTAATCTACTAGAGGGTGAGAGGCTATGTGGAAGACAATTGAGGCCATACAACCAGCAACAAAGCACCACGTGAGTGAGGTCATCTTGCACATTCCACCAGTCCATCAACTCAGAGATCTATGAAAAATCTAAATCATTATTCTTTGAAGCCACGGAATTTGGGATGATGTAATACACAGCAATGGAAAAGTGAATCGGGTAGTCACTACAGGAAACTTTTAGGCAGATGTCACTTATCTTGATTTTTAAATCCGAAAATCAAAAGACCAGCCAACTATTTCCTTCTTTTGAAGTCTGCAAGGAAGATGTGCCTTCCAACAACTAGGGACATAGGGCTTTGAATCGGATATGATGAAGGTCGAGAGATCAGAAACAGTATGAAAAATTCCTACTAAGTATTGAATCAATCGATCGATCTTTCCTTCTTTATCCAAATCTGAGGAACACCTGAAAGGCAAAGAGTTCCACCTATTTGAATTGTATTGTATTGTAGCACCTATTTGATACCTGGTTGGCTCTCAATAAATACTTTTTGAGTCATTGGGTCTATTACCTGTATTTATCGCTGAGCCTCCCTACCTCAGTGTCCTCCTGTGGCTAATGCTTAAGAGGCTATTAATAGATAAAATCACCTCCAGCTCTCATTAGAGACAGCTATCAGAAGGTGACATTTTCTCAGGAGTAGCTTCTAGCAGCTGCTTCTTGAGATAACACCTAGAAACACTGAAATTAGAGATACAAAGTAGAAGGTTAAAGCCACTCTTAACTTACATAATGGCTCCACCTCTACTTTATGACATAATGAAAATTTCAAATATATATGTAGAATTTTATTCGTTTAATGCATTTTTTCCTCTATATTACCTATATGAATGAATATACCCACTCAAAATCAGTGAAAATATTTTGGTCATTTACTATATCAACTTAAATAATTTAGAAGTAATTCTTAATATGAAACTAAAAGAAAATTTGCCAATAGTTGGAATCTATATCTCTAAAATTATTTTATAGGCTCAATTTGAAATTCAAAGGTGTAAAAATAAACCTGTTCATAAGTGTTGCTCAGAAAAAACATAAAACCAAATAAAAGAGCCAAATGAAAGATGGTGATTCTCTTGTCCCAAAAACATAATATATATCAAACAAATGTGATGTCCTTTGATGAGCCACATTACTGACTTTTTTATACTCTTCCTCATTCAGTAGCCCACAGCTATTTTTTGTAGTTGTGTCTCTTTTATAAATTATAATGAAATATTTAAGATATACAAAACATGAAAAATTAAGACAATAGGTATTCCTGGATACCATACAGTATAAGAAGTAAGTACCAATACATGAAACCCCTTCCCCTTATCTTTTACTTTCTGAGCTTTCAATCAAGAGGCTAGAAGGACCTATGTAAATAGGATCATGAATATTTGAGTAGGCATGATATATGTGAGCAGAGGCTATTTGAATTCTGCAAATGGAATACTGGTCTACATAATCTCTTAGAATAAAGAAGATAAAGAAACAAAGAAGAAAGACCAGTACCTGTAAGTACTGCAGTGTTTCAAAGGGCCCTTGACATACATAATAAGAAGTATCTAAAAAAAATGTGAAATTCTCCGCAGGGTTATTACTGACAGAATTTCTATCAAGCATTTTCATAAATGATCTAGAATTGGCTGTGTTACTGAGATATCTTATTCTGTAGGAAATTATATCCTGCAGGAAGGTGTGAGAAATAGGAGGACTGGTCAAATGGAAGTCAATGCAAACAAGGTTCAGATAAAACATTAAGGGAAAATCATATGGCATAATGGGCTCTGAGCTGTCAGGAAAGGAATTTTTAAGGGCTATTCTTGGAAGATATAACCCAATACAGCAATAAAACAGCTTGTCAAAATCCTACATATCCACAGGGAGCATATAAGAAATTAGAAAATGTTATTTGCTCCTTTATTCTTGGAATGTCTCTATGCAAGCAAGGTTGTCGTGCTTCAAGAAAAGTGTGATGAAGCTGGAGAATGTTCCAAGATGGATAACTAAGATGACCAAGGAGATGAAGAACTACCAAGTGTGGACAGACTTAACTGACCATTTCTACCTAGAAAGATAGAAGTTTGAAAGTGGATATGGTACAAATCTATAACTAATGTTTAAAATTCAGACAAATTATATAACTCAATGAATAGATATTAATGTGTTCAAATTCCAGGACATGGATGAAACTGGGAAAATAAACCAAAGGAAAATGATGGATTAAAAGGAATTTATAACTGATCCATATTACAGTTTTTAGGAGAATTAGAATTATGTGAAGTTGTATCCTAAATTTTGAACATTGGCATCATGAAACAGAGCCAAACCCTTTCACAAGGCCTTCTTTGATGCCTCTTCCAGGGGCTTAATACTAGTTGGAGGGATGATAGCTCTGACCCAGCATAGTGATTCGTATACTTACACAGGAGATGTTTGGAAAAACACATACCATTTAATGTGTCCTTATCACATCTTTGATGAGAAGATCCATATTTTCCCACTGGAATTCTGTCAAAAGTAAAACTTTCATAGGTACTGTTTTCACAGAAATTAGCTGTAATGAAAATGAAACATTTTTTCATCATAAATAATAATTTTCTTCTTAAATTTTCAAACCAGATTAAAGTCAAAGTTCGAAACCTATTCAGTATAATTTGAAGGAAAATAGAAGACTTTAGGACCCACTGACCCACCAGACACTTCATACTCTTTTATCTGGTTCAGCTAATACCATTAGAAAAACTAGTATGTTAGATAATGGGTTCTAGTTAAAATGTGCACAATATGTAACTTGGTAGAGGTAAGTAGAATGTGATCACTGACACATCAGAAGGATCATGAAATCAAATTAGTTGAAATCTTAAAAATTAAAGATATAGAACCTGTAGTACCAAAGGGTACCATGAGGATGTGGGTCAAAGCAAAAAGACCAAAGTCATGGAGCATGTGAGATATACTGACTCGTAGGAATGTAGCAAATTATAGGAGTGTATTTCTAGGGCTCTGGCTCCTAGGCAGGCAGCATAAAGTGTACCGAGTATTGGGAAGCATACTGCAGATGAAGATGCAGCTTTGAAGCATTATTTACAATATCCAAGACATGAAAGTAGCCTAAGAGTGTGTGTGGTATGTGTGTGTGTATGTGTGTGTGCGTGTATGACTCAGTTGTGAAAAAGAATGAGACCTTGCCATTTGCAACAACATAGATGGACCTACAGAGTATTATGCTAGGTGAAATAGTCAGACAGAAAAAGAAAAATACATATTATTTCACTTATATGTGGAATCTAAAAGACAAAATAAATGAATAAACAAAAAGCAGAACCAGACCTATAAACACAGAGAATAAAAGAATGGTTGCCAGAGGTGAAAGGTGGGAGGATGGGCAAAATAGAAAAAGGCAAATGGGAGATACAGGCTTCCAGTTATGGAATGAATAGGCCACGGGAATAAAAACTGCGGCATAAGTGATACAGTTCAGTGGTATCATAATAGCATTGTATGGTGACAGATGGGAGCTACACTTGAGGTGAGCAAGCATAATGGATAGAATTGTTAAATCACTATGTTGTACATAAAAACTATGTTGTACACTAAAACTAATGTAACATTGTGTGTCAACTGTACTTTAATTTAAAAAAGAAGTGAAAAAAAAAAGAAGTGGTGGGGTACCTGGGTGGGTCAGTGGTTGAGCATTTGCCTTTGACTCAGGTCATGATCCCGGGGTCCTGGGATTGAGTCCTGCATTGGGCTCCCTCCAGGGTGCTGCTTCTCCCTCTGCCTATGTTTCTGTCTCTGTCTCTGTCTTTGTCTCTGTCTCTCTCTGTGTGTCTTTCACAAATAAATAAATAAATCTTTAAAACAATTTTAAAAATTAAAAAAAATAAAAGTGGCTTTGAACTTTGATTCTGAGAACACTGCCTGAAGTCAAACTAATTTAATAACATCTTATCAAGAGAAAGGATAAAAAGGCAAAAGCTTCATCTAAATATAGCCTTGGATAGGAAGATGTGCCTTGATTTCAGAAAAGTTAAATATGTTAGAACTGTGATATTTGAAATGGGATAATATAGTGTATCACTAACTGAAAGGACCTGAGGAAACCATACCACCCCTTGCCCTGAATAGGCACTGCAACAAGAAGGAAAAGCACCTGTCAGGTTACACACAAACTGGAAAGTTGGGAAATACCCTAGGTAAATTGAACATACAGGTAAGTAGCCCAAAAAGAATACTCCACTTTTACTATTAAGCTAACAAACACATCTTAAAGCCACCATCATTATATCCATTGTTACTAAATTATTAACAGAAGCTTCAGGAAGCTTTGCTGTTGTCCTTATTAACACAAGTCACCTAAACCTCATACCTTAGTACCATTCCAAATAACTTACCAATGGTACACCTCCGTCCTTTCCACAAGTCTGGACAAACGCATCTGCCATTTTCCCAGGTTCCACCATTCCTGCAGAAGTCTATAGGGATGGTTGATGAGGAGGTTAATGATCCTTAAAACAAAACAAAACAAAACAATAAATAATAGAATAGTACACCAACTGGCTGATCAGTTTCTCCTTTTGGATCTGTGGCCTTTGATTTCTATATGTAAAACAATTACTTTGAGTACCAGTGGAGAAGTAATTTTTTTGTAATATTATCATCAACAAAAATACACATTGAGAATCTAAACAGTACATACAATGATTACAAGAGATTATAAAGACCAAAAAACTACATTTGAAAGAACAATACCTTGATCAAGGAGATTAGTATCTACTGGGGAAAATGGGAGATTATATAGATGAGATAGATGGATGGATAGATAGATAGACCAGCCAACCAAGCCAACATGCAGATTTGTAAGTACTTCAAGAACAAAGAAGAGAGATGTTGAGGACAGAAGTAACTTATTCAGGGAGAACTTTCCAGAAGAAGTGGTATTTGAATCAGATTTTAAGGCTGAATCTAGAAAAGCCAAATAAAAAGAGTAGCCCCAAATAGGCAGGATACAAAGTGCAAAACCACAAAAATATGGAAAGTTCTGATGTGTTCAAGGAACATAGCAACGCTTAACAAATCAGGAATATTGGTTCTATGTGGAGCAACAGCAGGACGCAAACTGGATTGTGAGAGGGTTTATAGACCAAGCCAATGAGATTTAATCCTGCAAGAGTCTAGAGAGATCTTAAAACAAAGTAGTAACATAATAAAAAAATGTGGTTTTAGAAAGATATCTCAAGTGATATAGGAAGTGACTGAGGTGAGGGGGCAAGGAAAGCCAGTTGAATGGGGATCAGATCTAGGGCAGTGGCTCTAAGGAAGTTAAGTCTCAACAGATTCAGGAAGCATGCCTGAGACAGGATTGTAAGGATCTGGTGACTAGTTATTTTGAGTTGGGCACACTGGTATCTCTACATTGAAGGTAGGGTGGGTGGTGAATGAATTAACTAAGCTTAAGAATACAGAAAGCAGAGTTCCAGCTCCAATAATGATGGAATAGATTGTATAATTTAAGCCTCCCACAGATAACACTTTTAAATTCTGGACAAAAGTTGTCAAGAAAGAGGAGGAGGTGGGGAAGGGGGGGTAGGAGAAGGAGGAGGAAAGGAGAAGGAGAGGAGAAGGAGGGGGAAGAGGAAGAGGAAAGAGAAAGGAAACTACTTGGGGACTTTGGACAGCAATGAAAAGCAGACAGAAACTGAAGGCTATTCCAAGTTTACACAGTATTTCCACTAAGGGCTCTACTTTGTGGCTCAAAGTCTATATGTAAACTCCCCTCAAATCTGGGAAGAAAAATAAGATAGATAAAAAACAGAGTTCCAGGGACATGTGAGACAATATAAAGCAGTCTAATATGTATACAACTGGAGTTCCAGAAAGAAAGAAGGAATAGGGCATTTAATATACCAAAAGAAATTATGGTCAAAATTTCTCAAATCTGGCTAAGAACTTTAACCTATAGATCCAAGAAGCTCAACACAACCCAAGCAAAATAAATACAAGGAAAACCACACTTACACATACCATGGTCAAACTTCTGAATCTTAAAGATAAGGAAAAAATCTTGAAAGCAACCAACTACTAGCCCAGACAGTTTTACCAGTGAATTAGGGAAGAAATAATACCAGCCTAATGTAAATTCTTTCAGAAAATAGAGAAAGAGAGAAGCTTCCCATATATTCCACAATGCCAAGATAATTCTGATACCAAAATCTGACAAAAATATTACAGAAGCAGAAAAGTACAGACCAATAAATCTCAGTTACACAGATGCAAAATTTCTTTAAAGGTAGCAAACCAAATCCAGCAATACATAGAACTGATAATATATCATGGCCAAGTGAGGTTTATACCAGGAGTGCAAAGTTGGTCTAACAATAGAAAATCAAATAATTTAATTCACCATATGACAGAAAAAAGTGGGAAGACCATATGATTATTTCAACAAGTGTAGGGGCCTAAAAGCATCTGACATTCTTTTAACTCTCAGCAAACAAGAAATAAAAGGAAATTTCCTCAAGCTAATAAAAATCATCTATGAGGAACCTATCAATAACATCAAACTTAATAGTGTAATATTGAATGCTTTCTCCCTTAAGATTGACAGAAGAGATGCTGTAGCCACTTTCATTCAACATTGTACTGAACCCAGGGCTAAAGGTAAAACAAAACAAAATAAAAGCATAAAGTTAAGAAAGGAAGAAATAGAATGTTCATTTTTTTAAAGATTTTATTTATTTATTCATGAGAGACACACAGAGAGAGAAGCAGAGACCCAGGCAGAGGGAGAAGCAGGCTCCATTCAGGGAGCCCGATGTGGGACTCGATCCCAGACCCGGGGATCACACCTTGAGCCAAAGGCAGGTGCTCCACTACTGAGCCACCTGAGAATGTTCATTCTTTGTTGCAAGTGACATCACCAAATGCTTTCAACAATCTTAATGTCCACCAAAAAGTGAATTTAGCAAGACTAAATGATACAAAATAGATACACAAATGAAATTCATTTCCACATATTGACAGCAAAGGTGGTCCTAAGAGGGGAGTATATACAGCAATACAAGCCTTTCTCAAAAAACAGGAAAGACCTCAAATACACAACCTAACATTACACCTAAAGGAGTTGGAAAAAGAACAGCAAATAAAGCCTACACCAAGTAGGATAAGAGAAATAATAAAGATTAGAGCAGAAATCAATGAAATAGAAACCAAAAGAACAGTAGAACAGATAAATGAAACTAAGAGCTGATTCTTTGAAAGAATTAATAAGATTGGTAAACACAGGAGAAAGGACCCAAATAAATTAAATAATGAATGAAAGAGGAGAGATCACAGCCAACGCCGAAGAAATACAATTATAAGAACATGTTATGAGCAATTACGTTAACAAATTAGGCAATCTGGAAGAAATGGATGCATTCCTAGAAATGTCTGAACTACCAAAACTGAATCAGAAAGAAATAGAAAATCTGAACAGACCCATAACCAGCAAGGAGATTGAAGCGGTCATTAAAAACCTCCCAACAAACAAGAGTCCAGGGATGGATGGCTTCCCAGGGGAATTCTACCAAACATTTAAAGAAGATTAGTATCTGTTCTTCTAAAGCTGTTTCAAAAAGTAGAAATGGAAGGAAACCTTCCAAACTCTTTCTATGAGGCCAGCATTACCTTGATCCCAAACCAGACAAAGACCCCACCAGAAAGGAGAATTACAGACCAATATCACAGATATTACAGACCAACATGGAATGCTAAAATTCTCACCAAAATGCTAGCCAATAGGATCCAAAGGTATATTAAAAGACTTATTCACCATGACCAAGTGGGATTTATTCCTGGACTGGAATAAATCCACCACCAAGGGTGGTTCAACATCTGCAAATCAATCAATATGATACCCTACATTAATATAAGAAAGGACAAGAACCATATGATCCTCTCAATAGATGCAGAAAAAGCATTTGACAAAGTATAGCATCCATTCTTAAAACCTTTCACAGTGTAGAGATAGAGGGAACATACCTCGATGTCATAAAAGCCATCTATGAAAAGCCCACAGCAAATATCATTCTTAATGGGGAAACACTGGGAGCCTTTCCCCTAAGATCAGAAACAAGACAGGGATGTCCACTCTCACCGCTGCTATTCAATATAGTACTAGAAGTCCTAGCCTCAGCAATCAGGCAACAACAAAAAATAAATAAATAAAAGGCATCCAAATTAGCAAAGAAGAAGTCAAATTCTCACTCTTTGCAGATGACATGATACTCTATGTGGAAAACCCAAAAGACCAGCCCAAAATTGCTAGAACTCTTACAGGAATTCAGCAAAGTGGCAGGCTATAAAATCAATGCACGGAAATCAGTGGCATTTCTGTACACCAACAATGAAACAGAAGAAAGAGAAATTAAAGAACCAGTCCCTTACAATTACATCAAAACCATAAGATACCTAGAAATAAACCTAACCAAATAGGTAAAAGATCTAAACTCAGAAAACTATAGAACATTCATGAAAGAAATTAAAGAAGACACAAAGAAATGGAAAAATATTCCATGCTCATGAATTTGAAGAACAAATATTGCTAAAATGTCTATGTTACCTAGAGCAATCTACACATTCATTGCAATCCCTATCAAAATACCATCAACTTATTTCACAGAGTTAGAACAAATTATCCTAAAATTTGTATGGAACCAGAAAAGATTTTGAATAACCATAGAAATGTTGAAAAAGAAAACAGAACTGGTGGCGTCAGAATTCCAGACTTCAAGCTATATTACAAAGCTGTAATCATCAAAATAGTGTGACACTGGCACAAAAACAGACACATAGATCAGTGGAACAGATTAGAGAACCCAGAAATGGACCCTCAACTCTGTAGTCAACTAATCTTCAACAAAGTAAGAAAGAATATCCAATAGAAAAAAAAGACAGTCTCTTCAAAAAATGGTGTTGTGAAAACTGAAAACTGGACATGTTTCATAGAATGAAACTAGACCAATTCCTCACACCATACACAAAAACAGACTCAAAATGGATGACCTAAATGTGAAACAAGGATCCATGAAAATCCTAGAGGAGAACTCTGCAGCATCCTCTGTGACCTTGGCCACAGCAACTTCTTGCTAGACCTGTCTCCAAAAGCAAGGGAAACAAAAGCAAAAATGAACTATTGGGACTTCATCAAGATAAAAAGTTTTTGTACAACAAAGGAAACTGTCAACAAAACTAAAAGACAACCTACAGGATGGTAGAAGATATTCGCAAATGGCACATCAGATACAGGGCTAGTATACAAAATCTATAAAGAACTTCTCAAGGGGATCCCTGGGTGGCTCAGTGGTTTAGCACCTGCTAAATGTCATTAGCATGATCAGCCCAGGGCATGATCCCAGGGCATGATCCTGGAGTCCAGGGATCGAGTCCCGCGTCAGGCTCCCTACATGGAGCCTGCTTCTCTCTCTGCCTCTCTCTCTCTCTCTCATAAATAAATAAAATATTTTTT